ACCACAAGACTTGATCATGGGACCCTCTAAATCTCAAGTCTTGGGTGCAACACTTGCTTTAGGATGCCGAGGCGAAACACCGTCGCCTAACGGCCAGGTATGGGTACCTCTACCCCCCCCCCCACTTCCATCCCAAAGGGAAGGCCCAAGTCCCTGACCAATGAGCCACAAAGTACTCAAGTGGGGCACCACTCCATATAAGCCAGGAGCACTACAGTTGGTTTCCCTTTCGGGAGTATGAGCTGCTCTTGAGCACTTCCCTGGGTGGCCCCTCCAGCACTACCCGAGTCCATGCTCACTCCCACCCAAGGCCCCGCAACCCCAGTCTCAACCTCAAGTCAGTTTGGAAGCACCACTGGAGAGTTCCTTCAAGATTGGTTCCTAGACCTCACTATCCCTACTATACTTTTGGAACCCCCTACAGCCCCCCCGGGAGATGCACGCTTTGGGCTTTCACCCCTTGACTTGTATTAGTACTCGGACTAGGTCTCGACTCGACTTCAGACTCGATCTCGGACTTGGTCTCAGACCCGTTTTTGGATCTCGGACTCCGTCTTGAACTCGGTCTCGAACTCGGTCTTGAACTCGGTCTCCAAGTCGGCCTCGGACTCGATTCCGGACTCCATCTCGAACTCGGTCTCAGAGTCAATCTTGGACTCAATCTCAGACTCGGTCCCATCTGATGAACTCTTTGTCATTCTGGTCATGCTTTTGGGGATCCTTTAGCCTACGACACCTCGGGGAGTTGGTTCCTTACATTGCTAAGCAAGATTGACAAGTCAAGGGAACAAAGACCCTAGATGAAGGTGTTGACTTCAAAAGGGTAGCCTATAGGGCCGAGCATGGAGGAGTCCATGCATGATCATAGACTTGTTAGATGAGAGGACTTAGCAATTCGGAGGAATTAAGTTCATAAATTGTGATCAATAGCACATTTTGGGATTAAATTGGTGCACCGGTGTGGGGAGTCACACTAGTTATTCTAGGTGATGCTATCCGTAGATGCATATACAGAGGTTGGGTTTGAGTCCCAACCCTTTAGTGCTTGGGTTCAAGTAACCCAAGCAACCCATTCACTAAGGTATGGTGATAGTTTAGAATATGAGGACATTGATTTTTCGATCATAATGGGCTCTCAATAAAGAGACTAGCTTGGGCATATTGCCAAGTGGGGGATGGCTTAGAGTCGTGATGCATAGTTATATTACTTAGTGTTAAAGCTTAAAATATCTAACTTGAACACTTTGGTGCAAGTGGCACTAAGGATGTGGTGAATGAAATAGAAAAAACCAAGCTTAGTTGCTATGAACCTCTGGCCAAAAGGGTTGATTTGGGCGCACTGCCAAGTGTAGGGGATGTCTTTAGGGTCATGGTCAACAACTTAAAGTTCTGGAAGACTTAGTACCTATTAGCAAATTTATTAAAGTGTCAAAGTTAGATCACTAAGTGATTTTATGGCTAAATAAAGATAAAATCCTTGTGAAGTTTGCGACTCACCCATGAGTCTTTCTATAGAGATTATTTTTTTGAACTCATGATACCATTATATTATCGTAGTTCATTTCCCTTAGATGTCTTTCCCACTTGGTCACCTTGACCAAGCCACACCATTACCAATAGTTTAAATCAACATTTTGAACTAAGAACCTTATTCCTTAGGTTGGGCTTAGATAAAGCCCACAATAGAAAATATTATGGAGATTTACTATAAACAACCAAAAAGAACGATTTGAGACATGATCCATAGCGTTTAAATATAGAGGGAAAGGGCCCATAAACAAGAATGCACCCCTTTTTCCAATCGGTTAAAAATCTTGGGATATTTGGGGTTAAGCGTCTTTGGGTTTGAATAGTACTAAGTTAAGTGACCTCTCGGGAAGTCCAAACTTAGGAGTTTACATGTTGTATCAAAAGGGTCTTGGGTCTGACTTTGTTGGTTGGCTAGGGGAATCACACCACATGTTAATTGACATTTGGCAGGTCCAATTTGCTCCCGTTGGGCTTGACTCAAGGGGTAGGGTGTCAAGAGAGCGGGGCTCTCAGGAGAGTTGCAGCTCTCAACTTCCGTTCAGGAAGGCATGAACTTGCAGGGAAGCATGGTGGATTATAAAATAACTAAAAAAAACAATTTAAGAGACGATCTATAGGGTTCAAATATAAAGGGAAAGGGCCCATGAACAAAAATGCACCTCCTTTTCCATTCGGTTAAGAGTTTTAGGATATTTAAGATTAAGTGTCCTTAAGTTTGAATAGTATTAGGCTAGGTGATGGGAAGTCCAAACTCAAGAACTTACATTTACTATAAGTGAACACCCTCTAAACTTAGCAAAGTAGAGCCTTTATTATGGAACCAAAAGGATACATCAAGGATGAAAATAATGATCCTAGAAAATTTGGAAAAACTGGGAAGAAGAAGATACATCGAGGGCCATCCCCTATGGCTGGATGGTGAAGCTGGGATTGTATGCTCAACTGGCCTCAATGTCCACAGTCGTCAAGATCCATGAGCTCCAGCACAAGTCTCTCAATGTAAGGGAGTATAAATCTGGTGGTGGTGACAAAGAAACTAGTTTTCAAGTCAGCATGTTTGCATACAATTGATGTTACTGGGACAAGTGATTATAACTGGGTTCACTAGGGTTTTGCCATGTTAGTCAAGGGTGGGCCAAATGGTGCCACCCACTCTATTCTATTGTGCTAAGGTGCAAGACATAAATTTGAAGGGTGGTGAGTTTCCCTTCAACTAAAGGAAAATAAAAGAATTCTCCCCTTTGTTAAAAAGGGAAAAGAAATTTTGTAAAAGCTAACCACAAACATAAGAAAAAATTAAAATGCAAAAGCTTAAAGCTTTTGATAATTCTTCGTCTCCTTGATCCTCAACAATTGTAGCTTTTGATAGGCATTGGGGATGGTTCTAAGATTTCCGGACTATTTCAGGTAGGTATTCTCAAACAAAACCTCCATCCTATAATCATTTGCTAGTATAAGACCTTAGGAAAATTAGTGCAAGCATGAGCATATTTATAGAATCAATTCAATCTTATATGTTTTAAATCTTGTTTTAAATATTGAACCCAGGACCTCTAGGAGAAAAAGGTGGCAAGTCCAAGCCTTATGGTTAGCTTCTTTTATGGTGCTATTAGCACAAGCCACCACACTGATAAAAATGTATGGCAAATGCGGCAGCTTGCAGCGCGCGTGGGATGTTTTTGATGCCATCCCCAACAAAGATTTAGTGTCGTGGACTGCCATCATCACTGCTTATGCCCGAAATGGACATGGCCGCCAAGCGATCCACCTCTACCATGAGCTGGAATCGCAGGGATTCCATCCCGATGCCTTCACCTACACCGCCGCTCTGGACGCCTGCTCATCGAGCAAGGATCTAACACAGGGCAAAGCACTCCACTCAAAGATTCGAGAAAGAAATCTCGAATCCAATGCCGCAGTTGCAAATGCGCTGATGAACATGTATTCGAATTGCGGTTTCTTAGATCTAGCGAGGAATATATTTGAAAATGTAAAAGAAAGAAACGTAATATCTTGGAACACGATGATTAGAGCAAATACCCAGTGTGGACATTTTGGCAAGGCTTTGGAGCTATACAAAGAGATGGATTTGCGGCCGACGCCCGCGACGTTCGTCAATGCCATCGCTGCGTGCTGTGGACTGCTGGATCTCTCGCAGGGAAAGATCATCCACTGCCAGGTTCGATCCATGGGGCTGGAAGAGAACGCGATCGTGGCGAGCGCGCTCATCGATTTCTACGGCAAATGCGGTAGGCTGGACGAGGCGAGAGGGGTGTTTGATCGGATCAAGCACAGATCGAGAAGCGCCCACGTCTGGACGGCGATCATATCGGCCTACACACGATCGGGGCATCCGGCCAGAGCGCTCGAGATCTACAGAGAAATGGCCAGCATCCGAGAGATCCATCCTGATGCGGTGACGTTCGTTGCGGTTCTAAATGCGTGCTCGATCTTGAGGTGCCTAGAAGAGGGCCGACAGATACACAGGATGATCGCGAGGGATCAAAAGAGAAGATCGATGCTGGAAGAGAATGAATTCGTGGCGAATTCGCTCATCAATCTCTACGGCAAGTGTGGCTGCGTAGAAGACGCAAGGAAAGTTTTCGATTTGATCAAGAACAGAGATGTTGTAAGCTGGAACTCTATCATTTCAGCGTACGTCCAACAGGGCAATCACCGTGAAGTGATCCATCTCTTCCAGAGAATGGAATCAGCGCTGGAACCCAACGAGATCACATTCCAGAGCGTGCTAGCGTCGTGCTCGCAAGCCAGAGATTTTGATCTGGGCTGCGAGATCCACGCTCGTATCGATCGCCAAGGCTCCATCACGCTCGCTCGCGATTCAAAGCTCGCGATCGCGGTCGTGGAGATGTACTGCGGGTGTGGCTTCCCGGATCGAGCTCAGAGGATCATCGAGGAGCAAAGAATTCCGGATTCTTGCGCATGGACGACGACGCTGGCGGCATACGCTCACGAATCCAGACTCCCGGAGTTTTTCGAGCTTTATCTCGAAATGGAGCTCCACGGGGTGGATTTCGACGCTGTAACTTACGTGTGCCTTCTCACTGCATGCAGCCACGCGGGGATGATTGATCGAGGAAGAGACTTCTTTTCCTCCATGGCCGATGACCGAAAGATCTCTCAAGCGGTGGAACACTACGCGTGTGTTGTGGATCTCCTGGCGAGGGCGGGGTGGCTAACTCAAGCCGATGAGTTGATTCGGGTGATTCCGTTTGAAGTTGATGTAGAAACGTACATGGCGCTGCTGGGTGCGTGCAGAATGCAGAATGACTTCTGTCTGGGGTGCAGGATTGTGCGGCGTGTTCTGCAGTTGAACCCATGCCACCTTGGTGCATACTCTCTACTCCACAACATGCTCACAAACTTTGCAAGTTAAGTGTTTGTGTGGCCATGATCGAAGTTACGTAGCATGGCATCCCTCAGGGTATTGTATTTCAATTCTCTTCCCGTTTCTGTTTCTGGCACAGGTTTCCTGAGTTACTTGGGATCAAATGCTGTTGTTTATATTGCTAGTAAATCATATCAAGCTTGTCAAGGGAGGGACCTCTAAAGCGATGTCCACCTTTGGTCTAGTAGCGAATTACCTCCAGAGAATGTGTTAGGAGAACAAAAAAAAAAAAAACTCATCCGGACAACGAGTTTGGCTTCACGTTTCATTCTTCCTCGTCTTCGTCTGCATCTTCTTCTTCTTCGATCCCAACCCAATCAGTAAAAGCAAACAGAAACTCCTTAAACGTGATCATCCCATTCTTGTCCCAATCCATTTCCTCTGTCGAGTACGAGAAGCATGAAGAAAGTTACGGAAGTTTCTGGTTTTTTCTTGAGAGTTACCAAATCTCTTGACGCCGATGCTCTCGCCCGACGAGGACTGCCCCGGAGAAGCCTCGTTAATGGCCGTGATCATCTCCTTCCTGCTCACGTAGCCATCGCCATCCTTGTCGAAAAACCTGAAAGTGTCTACAATCGTCTCGAAAGTCGACTCAAGCTCCGCTAAACCAATGCGAGATTTCTAGAGAAGGTTCTCAGCTTGGAAGAACAAAAAGCAGCAAGAGGAAAGCTTAGCACTTACGAGATTTTTCAGTTGAGACCCCTTGCCTTTGTCCTCCTCTTTTTGCTTGACGGGCTTGGCGCCAGTCTCGCCCAGCAGATAAACCAACGCTAGAACGATGATAAACTCCTTGAAGTCCACACCTTTGCTCTTGTCCATGTCGCTCTCCTCATGGAACGCTTTCACCTCGGTATCAGTAAACTCCACCTGGAGCTCTCGGAAGCACGTCTTGAGTTCCTCCAGATCGATGGTTCCACTATCATCCTTGTCTGCGATGCGATAGATCCAAAGAACACGGATCTTATAAGCAAAGCTATCGCGAAAGAGAGAGAGGGGAAGTTACCAAATTTCTTGAAGACGCCCCTCACTTGCTCGAAGGACTTGTCAATCTTTGGGAATTTCATGAGAATGCTGTTGAAGGATTTGAAGGGCGATGGTCCAGCCTTGGCGCGCTTGCGCATCGCCTCCACCATTCTCCTCTCGATCTTGGAGACGTCATTCAATTGCACATCCTTGCTCCCCTTGATGCCCATCCCCAGCGCTGTTAGGGTTTCCAAATGAGCCCTAAAAATCTCTCTTCGATGGCATGCAGCCACGTGGCACCAGTCGGCCGGTATTCTCGGCCCAACTACCATGTCACTTTCACATGACTGTGACACGGCCGTTGGTCCATCTGATTAGGGCTCCTCTGAAACAAACAAAGAGCTTGATCTTCTCGCAATGGGATTCTTCAAGTAACATTCATTCATAGATTTGATTCTCTGGTTCTTACATTTTTTGTGCAGAGATTTGATGAGAAAGAGAGTTTCCTCGCCACAGCAGCAGCAAATTCCGAGCGAGGTGATGAATGTCAAGAAACTGGACACCACTCTCGAGCCGATCACGATCAATCTCAACAGCCAGCAGTTCCAGTGCAATTCTCACGGGCACTGGTGTCCAGGTCGGAGGAAAAAATCGATTCTCGTTTTGCTTCTTGCGCTGAATCTCTTCCTGTTTCTCCAGTGAGTGAGCCCACCGCGGGAAAAATGCACGAGGAAGTTTTACGGCTCCGGAAGGAGAAAGTCTCACTGGTAAACCCGCTCGACTCGAAATGGATAGCAACCTGTTGACGATCAAACAGGAGAGGGAGATCATCAAGTACGCCAGGCAAGAACAGGAGATGAAGAACCTCAAGGAGAAGCTAAACTTGATGGACCTCAAGTACAAAGTACTCGTGGAAATGGTAAACAAAACGCGAACCGAGAGGAATGAAAAAATGTTCCGGAAAGAAAAAGGGTGGACTGAACTGACATCTTTGCAGTGGTCGCAAAATAAAGTGAATCACGGCGAGGACGATCAAGACCCGATTGACGCAACGGAGAACGAGCACTTGGACAAGAAAGGCAGTCGGTTCATCTGGCCAAAGCAGCATTACAGTTAGAAGCAAAACCGATTTGGTTACCTCCAACTCGCAGGATAAGACTTGTGTACTCTTTTTTCTTCTTCTTATCGCCTTGCAAAGGAAAGCAAAAAACACAGTCAGAGCTCCAATCTCTCTTCCAAATCTCCACAGACCTCACACCATTGATCGAAGAAACGCCGGCCTCGGCTGGCTTGTCCCAACGTCTTCCGGCGAGAACTTTGGCTGCGGAGGCATGGCCGAGTCGTCCAGCGAAGCGAACGAGGGATAAAACGCAGCGGGAGCCGACCACGGGCAATGCTGCCTCTCGTGGTGAACCGGCTCCACGTTGCTCCACCTGGAAGTCCTCAAGTCCAGCACCACCACCCCTTCCTGCTGCTCCACCCGGCGGTGCGAGCTCGAGACGTACACCAGATGATCCACCGCCGCGCACCTCCAGTTGTGCTGCGTCACCTTGCCCCGGAAGACCAGCTCGTAAAACTCCTCCGGCATCGCACTGATAAACTCCCACCTCGCCCCCGGAGGAGCGCCATCGATGAGCCTCCACACTTGCATTCGGTTCCCATCGCGCCTCAGCGGCGTGCATGCCACCAGCAGCAGCAAGCTCCCCTCCGAGTTGAGAAGCTTGAGCCCCCACCGGCACTTCCTCTCCAGCTGCGGCGGAAGCTCCACTCCCGAGATTTTCAAAGTGATCATGTCCTGTGCCGTGAGCGTCCTGTCACGGAAGGCCTTAGTGCTGTAGACAAGCCCGTTGCTGTACGTACCGAAGAAGAACTGGTTCCGGTAAGTGAGGAAGGCGACCCTGTGCCACGACCCCGCCAGGCCGGACAAGATCTTCTTGCTCTCTTCACCACCGCCGCTGGGTTTAAGCGAGTAGACTTTGAGGCTGCGGTTCGTGGACACCACCGCGAGGCAGCCGGCCTGGGGGACGAAGAGCTCCTTGACGAAGCCGGTGATCGGGTTCCAGGCCAGGTACCTCGACGAAAAGTTGTCATCGCAGTTGACGCAGCCGGCCTCGATGAAGATGAATCCACCCACGACCACCGCCTCGTAAAAGGTCCCCTTGAGCGAGGCCGGGAGCGTGATCTGGTGGCGAAGCCCCGAGCGCGGATCATACAGCCACACCCATTTCTTCTTGTAACGCCCGATGAGAGTGACGAGCCAGCCTTTTGGGACACAGCCCAGCTCGTGATCCAGCAGCGCTTTCCTGTGAGCAAAGCCCGGCGATTGGATGGCGTCGTTCCAGCTCTTGCAGACGCTGCGTGCTCGGACGATGGCCAGCAGCGGGAGGCGGAGGAGGATGAGATCGAGGAGCTCCGACGGGAGAACCGCCCAGTCCTCGCCCGACCACCGCCGCCGCCTCCTTGGCTCCTCGAGCTTCATCGCCTTCCCTCTTCCCCTAAAAGAGAGAAGCCACCACCACCACCACCACCACCTCCTTCCTTTTTCCAATAGGGCGGCTAGCACCAACCACTGGGTTGGCTCACCTTTTTAATCGCCATCTCTTCCTCCATGCATGGCCTGCACACGACCCATCGGCTTATAAGCATGGTTTTACTAGAAATCACCGAGCTTTCTTCTACTTTACTTTCTTCATGGAGTGAAAGGGAAAAATCCCGGCCGCTTCATCAATCTCTCCGCTGCCCGCATTGCGTGATTGTCGTCTTTGGCTTTGAATAAATCACCCGTCCAGTCCAGCCATCTTAAGAAAAAACGGTATTAGAGATTTGCAGTTAAACTAATCTCGATTCCTTGGAAGTTTTACCTGGCTGAAGAAAAACACGTCATGATCAGGAGAGCACCTAACCAACATCAAAGTACCGCGGCAAATGTCAATCAATCAAGAAGGAAAAGAAAGCGGAAAAATGCCGCTAAATCTAGAGAAGTTAATACAGACAATCGCGTAATGGCTGCTTTTGGTGCCAGGAACAGTGGCCGCCTAATAAAATCTACAAACCTATCAAACCGTTAGAATCAAACATAGAAAATGGCGTGAGCCTCACCTACTGTTCTTACGCTACCAATGGATCCACGCGCGCTGCGAAAAAGAAGAACAAAACGAAAAAAGAAAAAGAGGTGATAAGAACACGCTTTTAATCCTCTGAGATGGATGGAAGCACTTACCCTTGGCCGCTTCTTTTTTCCTTCTCTGTATTGTGCTGGGAACTTCTGGAAGATCGAGCATATCTACATCGTCGTCCTCTACGAGTTTCTTCTGGTTGCTTCCCATCACTGCCTCGATGTCGGAGTATTGTGTCTCGGCTTGCTCGGCAACTGGAACTTTAGCTGGCTCCGCTGCTTCGGGTCTGTCCGTCATCGGGACGTCTGGAACGGCGGGCATGTCCTCCAGAGCCATCTACAAAAAGAAGAAACTTTCGAGTAAACGAGAGAGCGAGGAATATTGAGTTGAGTAATACCTTCACTTCCATCTCGGCAAGTTCAGCTAGAACTTCCTCGTTGTCTTCTGTTGAGAGCTTCTGTCCCAGCACGGCATCGATTTCCTGCAACACAAGCGCAAAAGCTCTGTGAATTCATGCAAAGAAAGAGATTGCATAGAAGCGTCACGTCTTGGTAAGCCTTGGCTTCCGCTGTGTCATCCATGAGCTTTTGGACGTCATCGATGTTGATCTCGCTTTGGAGGTCTTTGATCGCTTGGGTGCCAGCTTTGAGGCTCTCGAAAACAGCCTTTTGCTTGGCAGCGATCTCGATATCTGCTAGCTGCAAGTCAAGTGATTTTTTTTTTTTCCAACCGTGAGCAATGGACAATACCAAAGTTCGATCGAATTCTACCTGTTGTTCGACATTTACAAGCCAAACATCCACTTGCTTGAGTAGCTCTTCTTGCGCCTTCTTCTTCTTCAGAGCTAGCAACGCTCGATCCTTCCTCTTCTCTCGAACCAGCTGCCGCGCGGCATCCTGCTCCTTCTGGATCACAATCTCGACCTAGAAAACGCGACGAATGGGTGAGCAAAATGCGCGATCGCGAGAGAAGAAAACTTCCACCGCGGTTGCTCGCTAACCTGCTGCTGATACTGCGCGAGGCGTCGCCGCTGCGTCTTGAGCGTGAGAATCGCCCGATCCACATCCGTGACGCGAGGCTTCTTCACGAACAAATTTCCCATTTTGTGCCTGATGGATGAAAAACCCTAGCCTCTGGGAAGAGGGTATATTCTCTCCATCGCGGGAATTTGGTCTCCATGGCGATGGCGATGGCGTCGCGGCGGCAGGCGCTGAGAGAATGGCGGCGAGCTCTGGCGATGGCGTCGCAAGATCCAGGCGAGGCGCCCATGAATATCTTCGATCGCAAGCTTAAGCGCAGCCAGGTACTTAGAGAGCTAGAACCTCTTCTCTTCTCTCTGGGAAATATTTCTCTCCTCCTATTTCCAGAGGGACAGGGCAGCGGTGCTGCGCGCGGATGATAATTCTTTGATGGAATCCGTCACTGAGACTCTTCTCGATCGGCTCCTGGTAACAATCACACATCGATCTTTTCTTTCTTTGTTCTTTTTTCTTAGATTTTTGCGTTCTTCCAGGATTGTAAGCGACAATTTCCAGTTGCTCTCAATGTAGGTGGAGCTCTGGACTATGTCCAAAAACTTCTCAAAGGAAGAGGTAATTTTCTTTCTTTGCTTTCGTGAAAGCTTGGCTCATGGCAAAGATCGATCTATACAGGCGGCGTGGAGAAACTTTTCATGATGGATCTATCACTCCCAATGCTGAACAAATGCGCGGAATCAAGCGCCTCTGAAATGGAGTGCGTCCATCTCGTTGCCGACGAGGAGTTTCTTCCCATCAAACCAGGGTACTACTTGCGTGAAACGAAGAGTTGAAAAACTAACTTCATGGCTTTTAAGCTCCCTGGACTTGGTTGTTTCTTGCTTGGGACTACACTGGGTAAACAACGTTCCTGGTGCAATGACACAGGTAAGTGAAAATCTTGTTTTCATTTTTCTAGGAAGATTTCCATGTGTGATGATGGAATCTTTGCTGCAGTTTCGACAAGCCTTGAAACCGGACGGCTTCTTTCTGGCATCAATCTTTGGCGGAGACACTCTCCGGTGCGTTCTCACCTTTCTCGTTTTAAATTTCACACCGGACTGTTTCTTCGACGCAGAGAGCTCAGAATCTCGTGTCATTTGGCTCAGCTGGAAAGAGAAGGTGGAATCAGTCCACGAGTTTCTCCATTCTCTCGTGTAAGTTTGCTAGACAAGTTTTTCCGATTAAACCTGGCAGTGCTGATCATCAGGTCAGTGATGCTGGAAATCTCTTAACACGGGCAGGCTTTGCAATTCCAGCTGTGGACATCCAGGACTACGTTATGAAATATTCTAGTGGTCAGTAAATCTTCCACCTTTTTTTATGCGATCGCCTCTTAATATGCTACCTCTCAGCTATGGACTTAATCGATCACATCCGACAAATGGGTGAGATGAACTGCCTGATTCAGCGAAACCCGGTACGTCAGCAAAGCTGGACTTTATATTTCTTTTCTGAACCTGTGCAAACTGCGTTTTCACAGATCTTGAAGCGAGACACTGCGTTGGCTGCGGCCGCCATTTACGAGTCCATGTTTCGAGAGGAAGATGGATCAATCCCCGCGACTTTTCAGGTGTGTTTAAAGTTCCTTTTCCCTTCACTAACTTTATGAACAAACAGGTTATTTATATGGGAGGATGGAGTCCACATTCCTCTCAACAAAAACCCGCAAGAAGAGGCTCCGGAACCGTTTCCTTTGCAGACATTGAGAAGGCTCTCGGAGACAAAAAATAGAGAGAGAAAGAAAGCATAGGTAACACACATTCTTGAGAGTTTGATCTAATCGTCTCTTCATTTTCTTTGTTTTGTCGATTCATCCGAATTTTCATAGAAACTGATAAGGAATGAGATCGAACGGCCGAAGAATCGATCCACGTGGAATCCTAACTGCCTTTCACATGACTTCGTCTTCCTCCCGGCAGCAGCAGCAGCAGCAGCCATGTTCAAGAACACTCCCCAGTACGCGTTTTTGACGCTGCTTTACAGTGACTGGTCAGTATACTGAGTTTGATCCAATCCTTTTTGGGCGTTTTGCTGATTCTTTGGTGCTTTCTTTTCTTCGTTAGTCTTGCAGGCTCAAGCCACTCTACATATGGAGGCACGAAGGTATCGTAGCTCTTATTCTTGGCTTTTGGATCCACTGTACTCATACATTCTCGTCCTGAGCAGTGGAGAATGGACACATCAAAAGAGTTGTGGACGAGGACTGCGAGCTGAACACGATTGAGATCATCGGCCAGAATGTCAAGAAGAATTCTATCACTTGTCCCTCGGATCCGAAGCTGTCCCTGGGAATCAAGCACCACCACTTGGTGATGATTGTCAAGAACCTGGGGACGTACTTTGGTTTCGAGGTGTTGATACTTGACAGTGTCAACGAGATGCGGTATCTCCGGGTCTCCAACTTTGAGGTATTCAGCGGTCAGTTAAAATTTCTCTTTCTGTTCTGTGTAACGCCTGCTTTGCACAGTCCAACTCGAGGGTGAGACCATTGATATGTTCTACGCCTGTGAGATTGCAACCGGGATGGAACCAGATTGAGTTTAACTTGGCAGACTATACCCGGCGTGCTTATGGTACGAAATATGTGGAAGCTCTTCGAGTGCAAGTCCATGCGAATTGTCGGATCCGGAGAATTTACTTCTCCTCGCAGCTTTATCCAAACGAGGAGCTCCCTGCCGAGTTCAAGCTGGTGAAGCAAAAAGTAAGTTCACGCATTGTTTCGTGATCTTAAATTTTGGTTTTCGTTCTTCCAGAAGAAGATTGATCCATTGACAGTGGATGAGCCACAGCCTGGCGATATTTTGCGAGCCAGGCCAAATCTACAAAAGTATAACGCCTTTTTTCTGCTCTACTTCGTTCTCAGATCTTTGCTCTTGATGCAGGAAACGCGTTACTACACTGGAGCTTAAAAACTGCACAAGGATTTCTGACGTCGATGGTACCCGTGTTTGATACTTTGTGCGAATGTAGATCTTCCATAGCTAGCAGGGGAGGATAGTAAGTATATAAGCACTGCTTTGCTTCTGTTTATTCACAAATGCCAGGAAACATTTCGTTAACGAGCTTGTGCAGAGATAAGTAGCACTTAACGTTCACTGCAGTGCTCGCAATGAGCTCGCCCTGCTTCCGAAACATCAAACTTGATTGATCCATCCACGAGAAAAACGAAAAAAAAAAAAAAAGACGATCGAAAGTACCTTTGGATTGATAGTAAAGATCCTGTCTTTAGGAATTCCAACTTCGAGGTAGGTTATCACATCAGTGTCGCGGTTCCCAAACCCCGCATAGAATGGATTGCAATCCCGAGGGAAAAGAGATCTGATTTCCTGGTGAAGCGTTTCAAAACCAACGATCAAAGAGCTCAACTAATTTACCTGCAAGCACGCGATCTTGAATTCTTGCGGAAGTCGTCGCACCACTGCAAGAAGAGAGAAAAACACGCTTGAGTTTAACAAACAATCGAGGCAATCCACTGACCTTCTCTATACAAAGATGGAAAAATTCCATCCGGAGATATGACGATAGGTCCATCGGGAAGCTTCACACCATTCTGTGTTTTCAAGATCAAAGAACTGAGAGATTTTATCAACCAGAAAACTCGATTAAGTTACTTGTTCTAGATCTGTCAAGAACTTGCGAGTACTGGAAGATTGTGTAATTGCTCTCGAACTGAGGAATATAAGTTTGTATCCATTGTCCTGGTCGAAAATAAATAAATAAATAAACGTAAAATTCAATCGAATCATAAAAAGAGAAACCTTAATCGCAGAGAAAAGTGGTGTCACTCCAGCTTGTGACCAGTCTCGGCCGATCCAAGGCATGAATTGGCCAAGAACATCCGACCTGCAGCAAGACAAACTCGCGAACTCAAAACTTCAAACGCAGAAAAATCCTTACTTTGTGATTGTTCCATCAACATCCGAGACCACAAGCTTGGATCTCCAGTGGAGCAAATAAATTCCAGCATCAACCTGTGCATTCTTCCGTAAGAAAGAACAACACCAAGAAGAAAAAAAAACCATGGCTTTGTACCTGTCTCTTACCAAGAACGCGAGTCGCAAACGTGAAAGTGATCTTGTTCCTGCCTTGTTTCAAGTTGAGCGATTCTAGCTGCTGCGATGTCGGTGTCAAACTTGCAAGCCTACGCCTCACAAACCATCTCTTTCTCCGATAGAAGCTCCTCACAAAACCGCCCACTACTTTCCTTTCTTCCTCCTCCTCACTGTTCTTGAAGAAATGGACCTGCCCTTTGCGATTCAAATACATATGAAACCCCGAATCCACATCGTTCACTGCTATCCCCACAATCCTCTCTTCCCTGCGCAAGAAGCCCTGGAATCGACCAAACCGGACATGCCAGGGGCTGCATTTCAATCCGCCCTGTGGCTGCTCCACCACTAGAATATCTACCGCGCCGCTGGAGATCGCTCGCGGGTGGAAGCGGAATCGCTGGAAACTCGAGGCGGCCTGGATCCAGTACCTTGAGCGGAAGAAGCTGTCGTAGCGTCGCCCTAAACATGAAAGAATTTAAATTCTGTACCCTAGCATCGACGGCCACGGTTTAAACTTGCTACCAACGGTCAGTATTGGTTTTAACTTTATATGGCGCCTTTTTCTCGCTCTTGACGTGTCTTCAGTAAGACTTGCCACTACTCAAGAACAAATCCAGGGATTTTTTTTGTTGGAGTCGGCTCGATGAATCCATTTTTAAATCGTAATAATTCTGAGAATACACCAATTATTCTTCAGACTTTTCCGGTTTAAGCTCTTGAGGAACTCGTTGTCTTCCAGTCACATCTTCTTTTGGAAAGAAGACGAAGAAAATAGGAAAAGTAGGACTACTAACCTCTCCAGCTCAATTTCGATACTCTACCAACAAAAACAAAGACAGCGATCAAAGCTTCATTTGTAGAAGAGCTCCAATGTTTTTCTAGAATGTTATTGATTCGATCTACACTTTAAGACACACCCAATAGAGAACAAACGCTAAGCTGCTAAAACTTGCAAGTTTTATCACCACGAGATAATTGAGAAAATCTCCTTTCATTACCCCAGTCGCTTTAAACCCATTTTAGAAATTTTAGGGCTTACGTGTGTTGTGAATGGGGAGCTTTGTGTCGGAGAAGGTTTTGGCGGCGACCCAGGAGAATGTGAGGCACGCCATAGCTGCGCTCCGCCGAGGCGATGTCATCTCCGTCCCAACCGATACACTCTATGGCCTGGCGGCGGATGCGTGGTAACTAATCCTCTCTCTCGCAAAGAATTTACCTCCATTTTCTTCATCTCGAATTCCAGCTCTAGAGTGGCCGTGGAGAGGATTTACGACATCAAGGGCCGGAATGCCGGCAGTCCCCTGGCCGTGTGCGTGGCCGACGTCCCCGACTTGAAGAGATACGCTCGGATCGATCATCTTCCAGACGCTCTCCTGCACGATTTGCTCCCGGGGCCCGTGACTCTCGTCTTGAATCGAGGTGGGCGAGAGCAAACTCTCTCTTTTAGCGCGAGAGATGATAGAAACTTACAGATTTTGATCGCAGGTGACAAGAGCGAGCTGGAGAAATCGCTGAATCCTGGATTGCTGAGCATTGGCATCCGGATTCCAGACAGCGATTTCATACGCTCGGTTGCGAGAGCTTTCGACGGAGCGCTCGCTCTCACCAGCGCCAACACGAGCAGCAGGCCCAGCAGCATCTGCGTGGAGGAATTCGAGCACTTGTGGCCCCAGTGCGCCGCGGTTTTCGATGCCGGGGAGCTCTCGGCTGGCCGAGCGGGATCGACAATAGTGGATCTCACGGCAGAAGCCAGCTTTAAAGTTCTTCGAGCTGGAAGGTAATCCTTGTTCTTTCTTCTCTTTTTCTCTGCTCTTGACGTATCTCTTGTCTTTGTGGTAGTGCCTTGCAAGAAACAAAAAAATGCCTCATTAGACATGGTCTAAGCGAACGGAGTTAAGTCAACGAGGGCCAGTCAACCATTTGACTGTTATTAGGGTTTATCCAAGAAGGAATATTCTCTGACTCATGATCCAGAAAATGAATGGGGTTTAGCAATCGCAATGCTCAAAATCTATCAATGCAGTCAGTCAACGCAATCTTTGCAGTCAAGTCAACTTTTTTTCTTAAACCCAACTAGGGTTTTTGCTCCCATGGCGAGGGAACAATTCCCGGCATTCCCCTTCCAGCCATACGCGATCCAGCTCCAGCTGATGCGAGCGGTCTATGGCGCATTGGAGAAAGGCGGCGTCGCGATCGTCGAGAGTCCTACAGGTAATGGCTTCCTTTTGCTGCTTGGGGAACGAATGTGAGGAGAGGTCTCTTGCCGCAGGGACTGGGAAGACTCTGAGCCTTATTTGCAGCGTGCTCCAGTGGCTGGAAGATAGAGGTAGTGATTCAAGCAGAGGAGGAGATGACAAGGATTCTGATGAGCCGGAGTGGATGAAAGAATTCTCAACAAAGCGAGACAAGCTGGTAGGCACGAAGGCAAAAGTGGTGAAGAAGAAATGCGGTGATTTCTTTGGCACTCCGGACGATTCTTCCTCGCAGAGAAGGCAGAGAGATTCACACAGGAAATCGAAATCTTTACAGGCTGCTGTGGAAGGCGAAGACGATGAGGAGTTTTTGCTGGAAGACTACAGCAGTGACGGTGGTGCTGGTGAATCGACCACCACCATGAAACGAAAGCCTGAATCTAGTGACAGTGACGAAGACGACGAAGAGGGTGACGAAGGAGAAGCGGTGCCGCTTAAAATCTTCTTTTGCAGCCGGACACACTCGCAGCTGTCCCAGTTTATCAGAGAGCTGAAACGAACGAGTTTCTCTACCTCCTTGAAGACCATCGCTCTCGGATCGCGAAAAACTCTGTGCGTCAACCAAGGTTTGGCTGGTTCTCTTTAGCTGGCTCTTGACGTGGGGCTGGCTTGCGTAGACGTACTCAAGCTAGGGAGTGCTTCCAGGATCAATGACCGCTGCCTAGATCTTCAAAAGAAAAAGAAGTCGTCGAGCCAAAAGGTATCTACACGGAACTCTCCTTCCTTTGTTTCTCATCACAACTTCTTTCAGGTGGATGACCAAAGAGTGATCAAGTCGAAAACCTCGGCATGTCCTTTTCTTAAGAAGCAGCGTCAGCGAAAGCAATTCAAGGAAGCAGTGGTGGCTTCCCAGCCTATGGACATTGAAGACTTGGTGCATCTCGGCCAGAAGCTTGGAAGCTGTCCCTATTATGGCTCTCGGAATTCACTTCCGATGGCTCAAGTCGTGGTGCTACCGTATCAGTCCCTCCTTCACGCTGCCACTCGCGAGTCACTGGGAATCAACTTGAAGGACTCGGTGGTCATCTTCGACGAGGCACACAACCTGGTAGACACCGTCACGAACACCTACAGCTCTCAACTCTCGACCCTCCAGGTTCTATATCGGAAAATGCTGGATTACTTCTTGTGGAGCCTGCTAAGAAAATGGTCGTGGTGTGCAGCTTAGGCAAGTCAGCTCGCAGCTATCAGAGTATCTCTCAAGGTTTAGAACTCGACTGGCACCCGCAAATCGTCGCTATATTCAGACGCTGCTTGTCCTCGTTCAGGCTCTCCTTGAACGCTTAATGTCAGTCGGGTCTCGAGAGAAAGAACCAGGGGTGCAAGATGTTCAAACTCCAGCAGCGATCACAACGATCAATGACTTTGTGTTCTCCCTTGGGATTGACAACATCAATCTATTCAAGCTATGTCGGTATATCAAAGAGAGCAACATCGTCAACAAGGTGCTTTTTTTATGTTGTTGTTTCGCGATGTGTCCATTTTAATCTGTTTCTCTCGTCTCAGGTGAGTGGCTATGGAGACAAGTATCTCTCGCAACAAAACGAGCTTTCGCCCAGTAGCACAGCCGGGTTTCATGCTCTTGCTGCTTTCTTAGTGTCACTGACGACGGCTCAAAGTGATGGCCGCGTTTTGATCGTTGAAAGCTCGGATGGGGAGTGCATGTTTAAGTTTCTTATGCTGGATGCAGCAAAACATTTCTCTGAGGTACGTCTACATCTCAATCTTATTAGCTTAAGTGCTTGTTTCAGGTTGTCCAGCAGGCACGAACAGTTATTCTGGCTGGAGGAACTCTTCAACCCGTTGCCGAGATGCGTGATCGTTTGCTCTTTCAAGTGCCAGACGAAAGCTTGCACTTCTTTTCGTGTGGACATATTGTTCCCGGAGAAAGTATCCTGCCCTTGGCGATAGCTAAAGGTCCGTCAGGAAAGACATTCGACTTCACGTACCAGTCTCGCAGCTCGCCACAAATGGTTAGTTCTCTCCTTTGCTTACTCTCGTTTTGCTTTCATCTCAACACCTTTCTTCCAGATTGAAGAGCTCGGACGCCTATTGGTAAATATATCCGTCATTGTTCCCGAAGGGATCGTGGTTTTCTTCCCGTCGTTCGAGTACGAGTCTCAAGTACACAAGTGCTGGGACAAGAGCGGCATCCTCTCCTCGATTCTCAAAAAGAAAAATATCTTCCGGGAGCCACGAAACGCGTCCGCAGTGGAGGCAGTTTTACAGGAATACAAGACAAGCATAACAACAGGTGGTGGTGCTTTGCTACTGTCAGTCGTGGGTGGCAAGATGTCCGAAGGCATCAACTTCAGCGATGGAATGGGACGGTGCGTGGTGATGGTCGGGCTACCGTATCCAAGCTCAAGAGATCCGGAACTCCTCGAGAAGATCAAGTACATCGACGAGCTAAACAACACCAAGAACAGGAAAGAATCCTCTTCGCCCCCGTCTCAGCAGCGAACAGGCTTCACGCTCCAGCAGTGTGGCCACAGAGGCAGGGACTACTACGAAAACCTGTGCATCAAGGCCGTGAACCAATCCATTGGTAAGACGTCTCGCTACTCCCTCTCACGGGATCTAATGAGCGTGACAAACAGGACGAGCAATCAGGCATGCAAAAGACTACGCTGCCATACTTTTGCTGGATGGACGCTACGTAACCACGGGAGGGCCGGCAGCAAAGCTCCCGGAATGGATCAAAGAGCACCTTGTGGTGGTGAGAGGAGGATTTGGAGAGGCTCACAGGCTTTTGCTGTTCTTCAAGCCACCGATGAACCAATAGTTTTCTCCAGCTTAGAGGTACTACTCGCTCTTATAAGTATCCAAGTCCTTTTTTCTCTCTTAGTTCCATCATGGGTGGATGCGACGGGTTGTGTTACGGTGCCTTTTCAAGGGACGTGGTGAAAAGCACTGAGCAAAGTATCCCAAAGAGAGGATTCCACGGCAGAAGAAAGCGAAAAAGATCTGTCGTTGATGAGCTGTGGGCCAAATGGGTTTCACAGAGGCTGTGGCTTTTTACCTGGGCAAGAGCTTTGAAGTGTTGGACTCGGTGGACTGTTGCTCCGGGAACGATTGGGAAAATCACATCTACATATGTGTCGAGAGGTGTGGACAGCACATATCGGGCTATGAAGTGGTGCCCATTGCAACTTTCCAAGTTAAAGACAAGGATATCAAGCTCTTGGATGCCAAGCTCGAGAAAGTTGGACTGCTTGGCAAGGAAAAGGCGCGTGGTATGATCTGTTCTACCTTCCTCTCTTAAAAAAGTGACTTTTCGCTATTAAAACTTAATTTAATCAGCGTTGATATTTAAAACAAAACAAATTTGATTTTTTTTACACGATTATTATGATCCCATTTTGGACCATCACACGAAACACGCGACACAAAATTTATTTTTACCCCCCGCCTTGCTCAGTAAAATCCTGCACACAAAGGTAAGCGAAGTACATAGACGATGGACTTACTTGAAACCCGAGAAAAAATACTTGTCACCTAGCTCGCATTTTTTTACAGCGTGTCCTTGAGAACCGAGCACCCAGAGATTTGAGATCGCCGTCATAGCTGCTGTAGTTGCGTGATCAGCCTGGGGTGTAATCTCGACAGAGCAACGTTGAATGCCGCCTCGCCGTGGAGGCTGGCACAAGTCCGCAGCTGCTCCTTGAGCAAGGGAGCGAGCGAGAGATTGTTCACAGGATCCGAGTTGATAATCTGGAAGGAATTTCATCACAAGTTACAATGAGTAGAGAATGGAAACCACAACCACACCTGTTGCTTCCTGAAAGACTCGCTCCCGTCTTCTGTGTTTTGCCAGTTGTAATCACCACTGTAGGAAGGAGATGGCGGTGAGTGGACAAAACAACGCACGCAAAGATATCCTGACCTGCCTGTTGCAACTCCGCTCTTCTCATCTTCGAGAATGCTTGTGCACACTCTGGAAACAATCCCATAAACACAGAGAGAATACAAAGCCAGAAACCTCACCCCAATATTTGCTCCAGTCTGTCGAGTATAAGCGGCTCCCGGGACGTCAACCAAATGCAAAGCGCAAGCCCGCACACCTTTCGTTTTGACGCGGTTGTCAAGGAATCGACCTGCCATACGAGTCATGAGGCTGTGGAAATTTAAAAGTCAGCCCAGACATCGACCTTCTCTAGCCAGGAATCGAAAAATAGCACCACCGGACTTGCGCTGAGAGACACTCCTGATTGTTGCAACTTGAGCGACAGAGATGGCTGCTCACTCAAATGGGCAAAGAAGTTACTGTTTTGAACGAGAACTCGTGCCAGAATAGCTCCCGCCATTGCCCTCACAGCGTCACTTTCATCCCGGCCATTAATTACAATCACGAAGAGCGACTGCCGACATAAACAAAAGAGCGTTACTTCAAAGCCCGATTCTGATCTCACACTCTACCTGCAAGGTCTCTTCCAACAGCGGCGGTGCATCCACAGGAAAACACTGCACGAGAGGAACACGTAGTAAGGGCAGCGTGATCCAAAATGAGGTGTAAAGTACCTGAATCAGCGTATCTAGAACCGATAACGCGCGAATTGTTCCTTTTTCTTTTACATGACCAATCACCATCTTGAAGATGCTGGCTACACCAGCACCATGACGACTTAGAAATTCTGCGCCACCGAGAAGAACGTAGCTTTCAACGATCCCCATAGAGACCTGCGCCAAACATTTATAACAATGAGAAAGGGAAATAATTTTTTTGTTGCAAGTACCTCTAAATGGTCGATGCTTCTTTCCAAGGCGGACACCAGGTGAGGGAAGAAAACAAGGAGCTCAGAGATCATAACTGGAGCATGTCTAAGAGTTGTGCTCCACAGCTATAGACGAAATTAGCGATGAAATCAAGCTAATAAAAACTGCCTACCTGCAAGCCATCTTCTAGTATGTTGAGCTCATCAGGCTGATTAACGTCAGTCACATGCTGTAGGATGGGAACGAGTAGAGTATAGCAGCACGGTGACTGTGAACCAAGGGCTGCAACAAGCCGTTGCAAGGCCAAAACCACTTGAATCTTCAAGAGACTTTGTCCCTCAGAGCTCTGCCAAACCTGCACCGAAAGAAAAATCCATTAAAAAAAGGAGAGGAGAGAATTCTCGTACTTGAGGTAGAAATATCATGATCTTCTCCGTGCAAGGCACGACTTTCTCCCCAAGGCGTTCAATGATAAGCGTGACCAAGCTGAATACTTGCAGCTGCACAACGCAAAAGAAGTAACGACAATATAGAAATAAAGAACACTAACCTTCGAGTCCAGCTCCTGAGCATTTTTCATAAACACGAAAAGAAGCTCCAAGCATGGAGAAACGAACTCCACAAACTCTTCTTCATAGAAGTGGACATCATCAATCAGAGTTTGCAAGGAATGGCAAGCAGCTAGCTGCACGGGTGGTCTTACAAGTATGTACTAAACAAGCCGAATACATACCTGGACAGCAAGATCACCATCGCCAAGCAATCTTAAAAGCGAAACGTAAATCGGCCTCCTCAAATCCTTATCGATCTGAGGAATGTTAAAGTCAGCTAGGAATCCGAGGATTTCAACCATTACATACCTTACTGACCCATTGCCCGACAAGCCAAGCTATTCTTCTGCGAAGTAATCGGTTGTTGGGATGAAGATTCCTCAACTCCTTGACCAAAGCCCCTTCGTACCTGATTAAACAGAGTCTTTTGCGGTTATACTGAAATCGTGAGTTACAAAAGCATACCAAAGCTTGAAGTCAATGTAGTCATGGAGGTCATAATATGCAAGACCAATCCCAGCATAAACAGCTTCTTTAGTAAGCAAAGCCGGGCTTAACTGCACAATTGCATCTGGTTCTGGTGGCGGGCAATCTTGTGATACTTGTTGAAGCACTTCAACAACATAAAGTGTAAGAACCTGTAACAAAAAACATGATCCGACAAGAACATAGTACCTATTTACGTCGCCAGCCTACCTCACGATGATTTTCAAATAATCCAATGTAGAGCGCCTCCGCACAGGGTCGAAGTTTGTCATGATATTGCACTAGAGATTGCTCGTGATGAAATGCTTCTGGATCCTGTGCCCAGTCTTCCAAATCTTTGGACGTATAGACAAGGTACCTGGGTTATAGAGAGCATACGGTCAGAATACTGAAGCTGTGTTTCTAGAGCAAACCTTCTCAAGAGCGTCTCACATAGCAGCAACACGCGTTTCTTGTCCAGTAACGAGCTCAGTAGTTGTTCAGCCTGTCTAGCTAGCTTGGCTTTGGTCTCGTCTCTTGTTAAAGAGATCTCACCAAGAACTCGCCCTGTTTTACTTGGCCTATACGCTTTACATTGCAATACTTGTTGAACGCAATGCATGCATCGCATTAAGAAAGGCTCGAACAAATCAGTGTCCCACTTCTGCTCCGTTATCTGGTCGCAGGCGAAGTTGAGGACTGGAGGAAGCACAAGCTCGCTGCTGAACGAGAATGGATGATGATTTTGAACCGTAACCAGAACTTTCATAAGTTTTAATAGTGCCTTCTCCATAAAAGAATGCAATTGATGTGTGCCAGGAAATGCCGCTCCTGCAAGTTACAATGGTGAGTGAGTGTATACCCTGCACATTGAAGTATATCTTACTGTACTGCAGGAACGACTTAATCGTTTGTAAGATAGCTGGACAAACCTGCTTAACGGGTGGGACTTCCTATCATGAATGAATAAAATAAAACATCAGACTAGTAATATCACCTGCAGGAACAACCATACCTGTACAGAGTTCAAATCGCTAGGAAAACCAAATACTAGCATACGACCGAGAACTTTTACGCATAGTAACCATCTCTCGAGGATCATTGGCAACGTTTGTGTGGACGACACAAATCTATCTGAACTCGAAAGAAAGGCCGAAAACTCATTAACGATAGCCTGAGTATCAGCACACCAGTGTTGCCAAGTGAAGTCGAATAGTTGAGACGTGATCTGCAAGAAGCTATTAAAATAGGTGCATTCAGTGTCAATTGCTGGACGAGCTAATACCGTGTGAAAGTTCTGTTGGTGTGCTGCGAGACGCATTGTAGAAAGCTCCTTCAATATCTGGTAAAGAACCATATACACTCTCAGAGTAGTAAGCACGTCCGAGGACTGGAGGTTCTGTAGCAGATTTGGAAACAAGTCTTGCCTGCAAACCATGAGCCACAGATGAAACCAAGCCTGGAAACGCTTTCTCTAGTGACAATGCAGCCAGCAACCAAAATGCGTGAAACTTGGCCAATGCTCTACGAGATACCATTCGCGAGGATAGTCGATCCGAGCAATCTTTGCGATCAACACAGCGAGTTGAACAGCAACCTGTGCATCCACCAAAGAATGTAAACAAAAAATGGCTTGTGAGAAAGAAACTATCAAGGACATGCCTTTTGATTCTCCTCCCTTATCAAGCCAAGTAGCTTCGTACGTAGATATGGTTTCTCTGCGTAGGGAATCCCACTGGAAAAAGAATTCCGTAAGAAGAATAACTGAGACGCATTGCGCAAACAACTTACGGCGCATCGCGTCTATGTCTCCAGTAACGATTGATGCTGTTCTTGAAATAAACCGAAGCCAGCCATCGCGCGTCGCTCTGATCGTCCAAGTCTCGCGTCGCTATGATCTCCTGGAAGCGAAATTTCTCCATGAGAGCCCTGGAGAGGGAAGGTATCGAACGGATTTATTTACATACCAGCAGGCACGAGCAAAAACCCGGCAGACTCTCAAGCGCCGTGAGATTTGCCTCGGCCGACTTGCGCATGGAGTCTTCCGGGCTCAGCGCCTTCTGGAGGAGCGTATAGACGGCGTTGAGATCGGCCGCCATGCCCGGAGGCGAGAGAACTCAGCTGAGGAAAAAACCCTACACGGGTTAGGGCTCCAAACAAAAATGTGATATCCCTTTTCTTTCCTTCTTAAACCCTGAACCTTTTGTTTTTGTCACGAAGGTATTTTTTAATGGATAGTATTATATTACATAATACTAATAATAATAATAAATTGTAGCAACGCTTGGTTTGCTTAATATTAATTTTATTATTACTTATTAATCAAATAAAGTTTAGCATGTTTGTAATTTATAAACGCAAGATTAATTTTATTGTAGATGATAGAATAAAAAAGAATATACTAGAAGGGGTTTAAAAGAGTTTATAAATTATAAACATGTTTATATATTATAAATACAATATTAATCTAAATGAATAACAACCGCTAGATGGTAGAATATCTTAGAATATTCAAGCATATTTTAAGTATATCCACTAACATACAAGTTTGCTTAAGCAAACCAATAATAATAATAAGTCCAGGATGAGCCCATCAATAAAAAAGAATCAACAGTAACATTTCAAAACATGTCTACGTTTTTCTACGTTGGTTGGCAACCAAACTTGCTTTCTTTAGCACAAATTCATCAATCTTTCGGGAGGCAATAATAACATGACACTCATCTTGGTTGTGCTCTTTCTAACTCTTGGATCTGCCTATGGGGAAGATTCTAAATGCTCTTGCTTTGTGTTCTATGCGCATATAATTCGAGTTCCTGCTAACGATTCTCAGGTATCAAACCTTGTTAGCATCCCAGGGAGTGGATGCAAACGCCTTCCTCCATATCCCTTTGGCTATCCCCTGCTTTTATCAACAAAACTCACTGAAGGACCTGAGTACAGCTCGAGACAAGTTGGGGTCTTACTTGCAGTGCTTGTTTCCACAGCGTCAGACGGATCGATCTCTTTTCGCAAGGGTCAGTTCAAGTTTTATGATTTGGACGGAGCCTACTTCAACTTCCAGGGGTTTAGAACTAATGGAGTTGTGGATGTTACTGCTGTGGTGAAAGGTGGCACGGGAATTTTTCGCGATGCTGCTGGAAACGCCACCAGCACGACCATCAGCACTTACAATTTTGGCCTTAACAACGTTCTTCTCTATAAAGTATGCTTTTCCAGCTTGAAAACTTGTATCATTTAAACTTTTCAATGCTATTAATCTATCATGCTATTGCTTACAGTTGTAAGTTCGGTTGCCAACCAAGAAAAACGAGGCCTGGACATGTTTTGAAATGTTGTTGTTGATTCATTTTTCTTGATGCGGTTCTTGCAAAATCATCTTGGACTTTCCTGATGTCACTTTTAATTTTTATCTTGAGGAGATCTCTCACCAGCGTAAAGTTAATAATGCTGGCTACAAATCCTTGAAATTTTCTTCACAGATACAACGCAGGCAAGATGGAGCTGTCTGTATCTAGGTTATCTTGTGTTTTCGCTGGAACATTCATGATCTTTATAAATGAAGCAGCAAAGCGTGATTCGTCAAGCTCTTTACTTTGCTTAAAAAGCAAAAGAGTAAAGGGGTGCAAGCTTGTTTAGGACGTATTCTTTATATCTGCTTGTGATCAGCTGTGGTGGATCGAGAGGTGGTTCTTATAGCGAATTGGCAGTGACGAAGACAAAGAGGGTGACGAAGAGGTGCCGCTTAAAATTTTCTTTGCAGTCGGACACACTTGCAGCTGTCACAGTTTAGGTATCGGCGAGCTAAAGCAAACGAGTTCTCTAACTCCTTGAAGACCATCACTCTAGGATTGCAGAAAACTCTGCGTCAACCAAAGGTTCGGGTTTGGATCTAAGAAATGTGATATCGCACCAAGTATTTGACTATACTATAACACCAACATTGTCGAAGTTTGTGCTGTTTGTTTTCTTCTTTGTGTTCCAGGAAGCGAGAAGCATGACTCTTCTTCATGCCGTACTTGTCAAGAAAGAAGAGCTCATTCTTAGCAACGAAGTCAGAGTTCTCCCAGACGCCTCCAGATACTCCAAAATTTCCAGCCTGCCAAGAAAGTTTCAAACCTCGAAGGCATTCTGCATAGGAGAACAAATTGTGCACATCTTTAGATATAATTGATCAGGAGATTTGTGAACTCACTCTTGGTGAAGCCAGAAAATCTCACATCGTTGCTGGTCATTGTCTCAAGCGATTCAATCTGATGTTCCAGCAAGAACACCTCTGCCAAGGTAGTCATCTGCTTGGCAGACACGCTCTCCTGCCTTTGTGGAGGAAGATTGTCGAAGATCTTAGACAAAGAAAACCTCGGCACCTACAAGCATGATTGTAGCTTGAACCAGTGAAACTAACCAAAGTAGTTTTGTATACAAATATATTAATTTACTAGTAAAAATGAATTACAAATATTGCAAGTAGTAAAATCCTATTACCACAAAATTTACTAACTTGAACTCCTCAATTCCCACGTCTGTAAATTATTAGACCAGCTATCTTCTGATGGTTATCGAATTTCCCATTGTGAACTTTACCCTTGGAGTCTCACGGTCGGGCCACAACAGCTGCGGGATGAGCACCAGGCCTGCAGAGGAGGTGACGATGTCAAAGAAGGACCCGGGAGCAGGAGCTTCATCCATGCGCAACTTGGTCCAGGCAGACATGAAGTGGTCGAGGGTGATGCTCCCATTTGGCATTGTAAGCGGTGAGGAGGACACAGTCCTCGTCGATGCTCCAGACCCGACAGGCTTGCAGCAGTGAGTATAACAGGAGGTCATGCTCCACGCTGATTCCTGCAAATTTTTCGAGCACCAACATTTCCATTCCTTGCCACTGTTACCTGATGATCCTAGCGAGGTAACTTTCACGTCACCATTCGTGTAGAACGCCAAGACCACCTTGAAGGTGGCAACTTGGCAAGCGTCATCAAATCCTAAAATACCGCCATTTGTCTTACAATCGAGAAAACGATTTCACCTGTTGAGAGTGGGATTCGAACCCACGCCCTTACGGACCAGAACCTTAATCTGGCGCCTTGGACCAACTCGGCCATCTCAACTCAGCACATAATTGATCTTGGTTTTAATTTCAAGTCTTACCAAATAGTTCTCGTCTAGCCAAAGGTTCATTCCTTTGTATCGAAAGACCACACAGGTTGAGTTATAGAACCTCGAAGGTCGAGAGATAGGTTGTGTGCCCATAGTAAGGACGCGTTCCAAGTGTCTAGCCGAGATGTATCAGGAAAGCCACCACTCTTTTGCAGCCGCTGCTTCCTTAGAAAGGCACTCTTTTGCATCCATCTGGAAAAAGCTGTGATTGAAAAACAAGGAAGGAGTCAGCTCGACGACTTCTTCTTTTTGATCCTGGAAGCACCGAGTACGGCTACGCAAGCCAGGGTGTCAAGAGCCAGCTAAAGAGAACCACGCGAACCTTAGTTGACGCATAGAATTTTTCACGATCCAAGAGCAGGACGTAGAGAAATTCGTTCGCTTCTCTCTCCTTTCTCTGCGGCGAATAATCTTCCGGATTGTCAAAGAAACCACAGCATTTCTTCTTCGTCTCTGCCGGCTTGTCTCGGTTGGTCATCAAACGGGAAGAAAATTTAAGGCTCATCAGAACTCTCCATCTCCTGCTCTGCTAGAATCCCTTACGTATGCAGTGAAAAGAGAAGGCTCTAGGGGCGCCACCGCTGGAGCGATTTGCGACACCTAAGAAGAAATAAAGGCAAAGACGGAAAAATTCGTTTTATTATCATATTATTTAATTGAGTCTAACATTTATTTTTCTTTTTCTCTTTCTCCAGAAGTAATTTAGTTCCCACATATCGTCCTAACATCATCACTGTAGCTTGAGGGTTTGTCCCTGGAGAGGATTTAAACGTAGAGCCATCTACAACTCGTAAATTATTGGTACCAATAACCTTGTAGTTATCATCGATAACTTCACCTTTCAGGCAGCCACCATGATAATGATAAAATGTTCCAATATTTTTCTTGCAATAATCAGCTATAGTGCTGTTGATGCTCTTTAGGAACAAAGAATTCCGTCGATTTGGCAATAAAACAGTACCTCCTGATGGCAGCGTTTGGTTATCATATCGATAGGGTGCAAAAACACTTGATAAAGCCATCTCCTCTAAGGTGTTTATTCCAGCAACACATCTTTGTATATCCTCTGGGCTTTTAAAGTAGTTAAACCTCACAGATGGAGTTTCACTTGCATTTTTGGATTTGAGAAGCAGTTCTCCAAAAGATTGTGGACCTTTAACTTTCACTAAAAGCTGACCTGAAGTTCCAAGTCCCATTGTTTCCACTAAAAAGCCAGCACTTGCAACTCCAACAGTAAGAGGACTCCAAAAATTACCAAGTGGAATTGGAGATAGTAATACCATACCTCCTGATGGATTATCTCTCATCTCTTTTCCAACTTGAGGAGAATTCAGTACCAAGTTAATACCAAGGGGTTTAAGATGTTCTATTGGGCCAATTCCACTTAGCATTAGTAATTGTGGACTTCCAAGAGCACCTGCACAAACTATTACTTCACCTCCAGTTTTCTCATTTAATATTGCAGTGTGAATTTGACCAATATTGTCTTTAAACATAACTCCAAATGCTAACTTTGCGGATCCTAAATCAGAATATAAATATAAAGCATTAAATAACTAATTTCTTAAGTACCTTTATTTCTTATAATGATCCTTTCCACAGTTGCATGTAAAAGAACCAGAATGTTGTGAGGATTCGCATATTCAAAAAGCAAATCTGGGGATGGATGGCGGTGTCCATTGGGATCAAATGTAATTCCTGCTGTCTTAGTTCCAATTACATCATCATATGTAAAATTATACTCTGGAATTATACCCCCAACTGTTACAAGAGCAGTACGAGTAGCAGCTTGAAATGCATTTTTGTAAGTTGGTTCAAATGCTACAACCTTTTCGACCCAAGCATATGACTTATTCACAGTTGTTTCATCTAGCTTTGCTTGGCGAAGAAAGCTCAACTCTGCACGAGAATAAAACCCTCCATTTACACTGCTCCCTCCACCCAATACATTTGCTCGAAGATTAGCAACCCCGTCCTCAGATGTGAATTGTTGAAATGCAGGGTCTTGGCGTGGGGCATTTGCAATATTTGATTGTTGTGTAATATTTGGATTTCTATATGGTGAACCTCCACGTTCTAGAACAAGTACCTTGAAATACTCAGAAAGTGTAGCTGCTAATGGACATCCGGCAGTTCCTCCTCCAACGATAATGTAATCATACTCTTCTAACTCAGAAATAGTAGATGCCTCTTTGATAAAATTGGAGGAGTTCAAGTTATATCCAGAATACACAACTGAGAGTAAAGTAGCAAAACATATCAATCTCATCATCGTTAAATTTGCAAGTGACTAGAGCTCTGGGTGTGTAAGATTTATAATATGTAAGAGGATAGGTCCATCTTGTCAAACACCCTTTACATTTTTCTCACTTAGACCAAGAGAGTACGGAGAGGGTAGGTTGGCTTGGATGAATTCACCGGTGGTTTAATGCCTCCAATGACTACAATGTTATTATAGTCCAAGTTCTTCTAGAAGTACTTAGAAAAACCAATAAGTTCTAGAAGTACTTAGAAAAACTGATGTTTAAAATTTTTAAATTTAACTCTATACAAAATATGATTTCTATTTCTGGGGTAAATAAATAAATAAATAACTGCTTTTAGAATAATACTTACCAGCCCAACCATGTGAATGGGAGCATTCTAGAGGAGTTTATTGTGCCAAAGCAATGCCAAAGTCCTTATGTACTTTAAAGAACTCAAAGGCTGAGGACAAAATATGTAAACTCATTCTTTCCTTAATAATAATACTTGTTTTCGGAAAGTCTTGTAGCAGCTTACCCCTACTCTCACTGCCTACACTATATTTCACTCGTCAGCGCCTACATGTCAATCCTCATGGATAGAACAGAATCAATTTCACATCCTTCGTGGTCAGCTCCTCATATAAAGTAAAAGATCTTGCAGATAGTTATTTAGATTACCACCATCTTGTTGACATAGTTCTTTAAAAAAACTCCTTTAATGATCCTTCTTGATCACAAGTTTTCACATGACCTCATCCGAGAGGTTTCACAAACATTGCCCGATTCACTTGAACGAACGGCAAATCCCCGATGGGCTGAATTGCCTGTCCACCAGCAACTGTTACTGGCTCCCGCGTGTGATCATCTAGAATGTGCCACTTATCAATAAGAAAAAAGAGGATAGATTGTATCATCCAATTTACCAAACAAGGTGTTCAAGGACGAAGCTGGGGGTGTTGCCAGATGGTTCAAACTCGCGTAAATGAGAAGAACAAACGGAATCGCAAGCATAAAAAGCCTAGGGACCACAATAGCCCAATACCTGTGAGCTAACAGTAAAAAAACTTTGTAGATTTCCAAAGCTTACTTGTCAGGATAGGACGTTATTCCAAGGTAATGAAGCCAAGGTTCGGGGAGACACGCCCAAATAACACACACCCCTGGATTTGTAGTTCGCGACTGTCAGCGATTCAGATTGAGAATCCAAAATATTCACTCACCAAATGCGACTATGTTTGAGATCGCTCCCACGAATTGCATAAACCTCTGTGTTCCTTGACACTTGCGTTTCTCGTGATCCTATCCAGGCAAAAAGACTGAATGGAAAGGTTGATCGATCGCTTGATATACCATTCACCTGTCGGCTTTCTCTCCGGGCCGTGGAACTTTCTCGTACTCGAAATTGTTGATGTCTACTTGCTGCTGGATTGCCTGCATTCCAGAAACAATTACATCTTACTGGCATCAGCAAATATCAAGAGCAATCACCTTGAAGTCTTCCTCGAGTGTGGTGGGTTTGCTTTGCTTGAAGTTCTTGAGAACCCCCTCCTTGGAAAGCGCCTGCGTCACCTTTAGAAGCTCCCAATCCCTCTCGTTGCGCTCGTGGACAACCTCAGTTCTAGAATCCCAGAAAATCAATCAAAGTGAAAGAAGAATACTTGTTACCTCCCAGCAACGATCTGAGCGATGCCAACGTAGCCAGTGACGGACCCAGCTATGATCGGGAGGCCGAAAAGAAAGAACCGATTCGACCCACTCAGCCTCCGTTCCCCCGCACAGTGGACATTTGCTCTAAGCAAACCCCACTAGCCGAAAATAGTCGTCCATTTTGTCGAAAAGCTCTTTTCAGTTTCTCATCGAAAAGCTTGAGGATCACTTCTTAGGGAGTTCGACGCAAACAACTTGATGGCTCGTTCACCTCACCAGGCAGGCTGTCTTCTTGTTCTCATGTTCACGTCTAAGAACCTCCGTTCTTCCGACCATCATATCCACCAATTTTCCGCAGGCCACGAGAGCAGCATCAAGTTGTGGACTTCGAGCAACCAGTTGACTGCATCCGTTTCAAAAGCTCCAGAGCGAGCTCATTCTCCATGTAGCCCAGTATCCACGTCATGCGTAACCATAACTTCCAAAACTTTGCGAGCGTCGGCCATACATCCCTGTGCCCAAGTTCCTCGTCTTTACAAGCCTGCTCTAAGTTGGCCAAGCTTGCACAAACCCTGAGTGCGGCCTTCGTAGAACTCGATATACGGGAATAGATCCAGAGCCAAGTCGTTGCTCACATATCCCAGCAGCAAAGCGTTCTATGAGACCACTCTGTCGCGGAGCAATCTGTCCTCCATACGTCCACACATATCAGCCGAGTGTTTCCCACGAAGATGTTGCACAACAATTGGCTTTTGCAGCTTCACATCCCTTTCGCTTCTTCAGACTTTGTCCACGCTCTAGTCTTGCTTCTTCCGTGCCCTCTACAGGCCGTAAGTGCAGCAAACAAAGGTCCGCTACTAATTGTCACCGCATAGCCCAGTACCAAAGTTTCGAACATATTGTCGAACACTGCTCTTGCCTCCACCATGCTTGCGTGTAACACCTCTTTCAACGTCCGCAGAGAAGTGCTGCTAAAAACGTCCGTAAACTCATCCTTGCATACTTCAACTTTGTCCGCACGTAAACGTGCAACTAGTGCCCGCAGTAGATAGGATAATCCTTCCTTCTGCTAAAATCCCTTGCTGCACTGTTTCACGGAATCTAATCACTGTGCTCACCACTTGCCCCTCGTTGTTTCTAGCAGTCACACTGACTAGCCGGACCTGTAAACTGCTCTAAAGAGTGCATAACTCATTCGCTAGTGAATAAAAAATTGCCAGCAAACCTCTGAAAAGAGAAGTATGGTTAGTTCGTGTATGAAACCGTATCCGCAGAAACTTACGTGCTGTCGACAAGAAAGGCCTAGCAAATGGGCTTCAAACTGCATCACTGAGGCAGGACAAGGTGATTCTTCCAGAATTATCACGGTCCATAATATTGAACTGGCGACAGACTTCCATTATATCGTCTTGAGAAATCTTGCCGAGCTCTTTTAGCTTATAAACCACGAACTCGGATTTGCTGCAAAGAAAGAACAAAAAAGGCAGTGTTTTAGCAAACGTAGATAATGGATGGCGCATACCTGACAAAGCCATTGTTGTCAATATCCGCTGCAACTAGATCACCGACCGTCATTTCTCTCGTAAGCACCCACTTGGCAATCAGCCTGTTCCTCCTCGCAATCCTGGCTTCTGCGAGAAATAGAAAAGCCCGAGCGACAGCCAAGCTGCTTATCAGCAGCCACATCGAAGCAAACAGCCTTCCCGCCAGGCTCTCGAACGCGTGGTCGCCATATCCCACCGTCGTCACCGATATGCACGACAAGTAGAAGGAGTCCACCCAGCTAAGTTCCTCCAGCTTGTGCACAGCCAAAGTCCCCAAAGTCACACACCCGATCACCACCCCCAGTGCTAGAACCACCTTCATTCGCTTCCTCATACGTCCTTGAAAGAAACAAAGAAAAAAACTCTCAGCCTTGCAAGTGTTTGAGATCCAACTAGAACATACCTCTCGTGTTAACCAAGACGAGAGACGCGCCTCGCAGTTTGATGGCGGCCACCCTCCACAGCGCTCATGAGAAGCTCCTCTTGCCTCTCCAGGATGTAAGCGACCATTCCACTGAGCAAAACGTCGATGAATCCCATACCAATCACCACGAAAACGCAGCAGTAGAGCTTCGTGGTGGACGAAACCGGCGCGATGTCCCCATACCCGATCGTGCACATCGTCACGATGCCGAAATACACGGCATCGACGAGCGTGTGAGTCCTTGTGCCCGAGAATTCCTCCACACGTAGATCAGCACGCCGATCGCAATGTAGATGCAAAATCCTATTGCCGCTTGCCTGGCGATGCGTGCCGCCGATTCAAGCCTAGGCTTGTCATCATCGCCGCACCGCTTGCCGTAATCGCTTGTCATTGCTGGAGCCGTGCGCGATTTCTTGAGCCTCCTCCCCGGGGACCATCGATCTGGAGCCGAAATCCCGGATTTCTCAGCGCGATCTCCCTGCCTGCGATCATCCAACACCGCTTCCGGCAAATCCGAGCCTGCCGAGCCATAGACAAGACGATCTTTGACAAGCGCGGCCGATTCTGGCAACTCATCCTCTTCCGCGATCGTCCAGAGAGGCGCCGACGCTGTCCCAGGCGATCGCGGAAGCTCCATTGCGACGCTACATTCTCTCAGCTCCTAAAACCCTAGCCCATAAGACTCAAGCTTCGAACGCATCGCAGGCATTGATTTCGAACAAACACCCGTAGAGTAATCTCAGCCGTTGGTTTTTCAAGAAAGATACAAAAAGCTCTTAAGCTGCCGTGAAGACCTTCTTCGCGCCACCGTCGGAGGCTCCTCGCGGGATCACCTTGAGCACATTGAACCGGATCGTCTTGGAAAGAGGTCTGCCAAACAAAAGATGGATCGATCAATGAGAACAGAGAATTTTGTTCCAATCTAATTTATAGCTACGATCTTGACTAACCTGCACTGGCCGAGGATCACTTTGTCTCCTTCCTTGACACGAAAGCACGGCGACACATGAGCTGCCACGTTTGAGTGCCTCTTTTCATACCTGAAAAAAAAGAGATTTTTCTGGATGAGAATCGCGAGAGAATCGCGAGGCGAAAGAAGAAACTTGGAAGAACTTGGGCCAACACTCACCTCTGATACTTCTTCACATAGTGCAAGTAATCTCGCCTCACGATAATGCTCCGGGTCATCTTGGTTGTAGCCACAGTTCCAGTGAGGATTCGGCCACGGATGGACACGTCGCTGGTGAATGGGCACTTCTTGTCGATGTAGGTGCCTAGCCACAGACGAAGAAATCGATCACAGATCCAGCAAGAACGCATCCGAGAGTTATACCTTCGATCGCCTCGCGAGGGGTCTTAAAGCCCAACCCGACGTTCTTCCAGAAACGACTGCCGCCCTTGCCGGGCCTCTTCTTCTTCCCAGACGTCTTCCCTCTGATCCATCACACAAAGACCCTCAGCACCGACACGCGAAGCTAGCAAAAAAATAGATCCACTCACAGGGGAAAGACCTTGTGCTGCTTGAGAAAGGCGCGCTCGGTCTACACAACGAAAAAATCGATCAATGCGGCGCGCGATCAATCCAGACGACGCATACCTGTTCCGCCATAGCGCTTCCTCTCCTCCAGCAGCCGCCGATAAACCCTAACCCTGCTCTCCGGCAAAGAAGCCAATCTCAGCCGCTAGCCGTAGCAACGGCGCCGATCAAATCCCGAGGAATATTTTGTTGCAAACAACAGAATATTCTACTTTTAAAAGAGAGAGGAACACATTTTCCACATTGTACAATAAAGTATGCGGTTTTTTTTTATAAACAAAGAGGAAAAACATTACATTTTTTTTACTCTTCTTTCTTCAGCATCTGAAGAAGAAAGCACAGGTGGAAACTTATTCATAGTAGAGGAAATTTTATCATCTCTAGTCGGATTCGCTGCTGCTGCTGCTCTTGTCGCCCTCCTTGCGCTCCTTGTGCTGGTTCTTCTTCTTCTTGATCTTGTCCATAAGCCCCTCCTTCTTCTGGGGCTGCCCGGTAGCGGTGTGGCCGCTAGTCGGGTTTGTGCCAGTGGTGGCGCCATAGGGAGTAGATCCCGGGTTGTGACCAGTGCCGGTGGTGCCAGTGGTGGCGCCATAGGGAGTAGATCCCGGGTTGTGACCGACGCCCTGCCCGTGGCCGACGCCCTGGCCGTGTTGCCCGTAGCCGGCCTCCTGCCCATAGCCGGCGCCCTGACCGTGAGTCTGCTGCCCCAGTCCGTGCGTCTCGTGCGTCTGCCCGCCCAATTTGTTGTGCTCGTCGTCCTTCTTGCCGAACTTCTCACCAATCTTCTCCATCATCGAGGCCATGAGCGCTGCGAGAATCAAAAGAACTGCGAAGAGAACTTGTGATCGAGAAAACAAGACAAAGCCAAAGATCTAGATAAAACAGATATATCGATCGAAGATAGAATGAGTTCCAGAGTGCGGAGCTTTCAGCTCTTATACAAATCGAGAGGCCCTGAGATGCCGACGCATGGCACCTCGATCTTTGCCACGTATGTGACAAATCCACGCGACAGGTGCCCATTGAATAAATAAGCCAGTATAACCACCGACGAGTTAAAAACTTTATTGTTTTAAATTCAATTCAATTCACTAGAAAAGATAGCCTTTGTTATAACACGTGGCGAAACTTGGCCGGATTACAAAGAACCCTAATTTAACAAGAGGGTTTAGTTGGAGAGGACTTGCTTGTCCTCGAGATTGAGCTTGGATTTCTCCTCGCCGCCGCCTTCGCTCTCCATCGAGTGCTCGATCTTGTCGCCCGCGCTCGCGGTGGCGTCGCCAATCTTCTCCGCGGCGCTCCTGACCTGTTCGCGCATTCCGCTCTCGGCCGGTTCCTTAGAATCTTTGGCCGTCTCCTTGAGGTTCTCCCCGGCTTTCTCGACCTTGTCCCCGACCTTGTGCGCCATGGACTCGGCGGTGCCCGCCTCCTTGTTGAGCAGGAGAGGCGATGTTGCCAGGAACTCCTTCTTCACGAGCAAATGACCGAGGGCATTCTTCTTCGAGGCGACGAGAACTGACCTAAACGCCATTGTTGCTGCGTGAATGCTGTGAACGTTGGAAATGCTTGCTTCGATCGATCGATTAATCCGTTCGTTCTCTCTCTTCGCGCTCACAAATGCTCCAAGTTCGCCCTTTTTGAGGCATGGTGCAGCCGCGTGTCGATTGCACTGGTGACAAGTGTCGATGTGTGTAAGAAGTTGATGGAACTGGATATGCTTATACTTGAAAATATTCTCTTTGGGGTTTAGGGTTTAGCGTTATCGTTGTGCATGTAGCTGGCAGATTGATGTGGATATGAAACTTAGGAACAATGGTTTCGAACCCAGAACCTGCTAGTCTAGTACTATATTATCCGAGGCGATCTCGCCTTCTGGTATCATGGCTTCCTCTTCCTCTCCTCTTGGCAATTCTATGCTCCTCTTGTTTCTGCTTGTGGCAGCACTGACTGCTTCTACGTCCAAGGCAAGTGAGATGATCTTGTCAATTCGAGTTTTCTGATCTTGGAACTCTTTCGCAGGCTTGTGAAGGTTTTGCAGGCAGCTGCAAAGACATTTTTGTCAAGGGGCCAGTGCTCGAAGCCGAATGCATGAACAACAGGGGATGGAAGTTCTATTCAGCCGTTGATATCTCCAAGTGCATCACTTATGGCGAGGATGGGAAGCTCAAATGCGGGGAGAGGTTCACATACGGGCTCGAGAACTGCCGGGGGATTGAGTATCTCACGTCGGGCACCATGATGGAGGGCGAGTGCAAGAACACCGATGGCGAGTATGTGGCAAGCACTCTGGATCTCAACGATTGCATTGGCAACATCAATGGATTCCTGCGATGCGCTTCACTCAGTGACGAATGTGTCAATCGTCACAAGGACGAGTGAGTGACGCCTTTGGATCATATGGAATAAAGGCAATGTGGATCTTCTATAGTCACCATGCTAGCATAAACAAGTTCCATCCGTGAAACTTCATGATCTTGTCAGATTGTCATTCAGGTGGTGTCACCTTAGCGTCTCTCTAGCAACATCGGAATTCAAGGAGATAGTAAAATATCACACTCAAATGTACCATACAATGACATCAACAAAGTTGTCGACAAAAGATTCCTCATACGTCAAAAGTTAAAACAGAGAAGAAAAGCAATGCGGTGAGCGTGGATCGAACACGCGACCTTCAGATCTTCAGTCTGACGCTCTCCCAACTGAGCTATCCCCGCTTGATAAAAGCAGTTAGAATCTTAATCTTCAAAAATATGAGAAACAAAACCAATTTTGCTATTGCTATTTTGGAAGGCTAAGATATGTCTGGATAACAGGGCGAATCTGGCCCACTCAACCAGATGTGGATCCAGACCGTCGAGAGCTGGAGACATCCAGCGGCTGAGGTTTAACATGGTGGTTCTTTTGCCACGACTGCTAGGGTTTAACGAAAATCTTGTGGATATGGCAGTTCGTCGCCGAGGAAATGGGAGCGATGGCGCTGCACAAATATCGTCCTCTATTTTGTAAGCGGATTCTTGGACTGGAAGCGCTGCCATGGCCGCATTCGGGCAATGGCGGCGAATTTGAGGACTAGGATCTGGAAATATGAGAACGAGGTCGTAGCATTGAGGCAATGGCAGTGGTGGCAGGCTTGGCAGCTGCGACTGGCGGCGCAGTGCTGGAATGTAGCTCTGTTCTATCGCCTGGCATTCCAAGTAAGTGGGAAGAAGTGGGAATTCTCTCGCTGAGTGGTTTCTATCCAATTTCCAGGCACTTCTTCGTTGAGACGTCAAAAGCCTTGCTCCAGAAGGAGGGGATGCTTCGCAAAATTGGATCATCACAATGCAAATCCACGGCTTTGGAGCTCGGTTCTAGCATGGTAAGTCGTTTACTGATGCCATAGAAGTTTATTTTCTTAGCTGGGAGTTCTTTGCCGCATAGGAATCACGAAGGCCCAGAACGAAGATGGAAGGTGGCTGGCACCTTACAAGTGAGAGCAGTGACCACCACTTCCAGTTTTACAGAGACTGAGGCTTGGTTGGCTAGTGACGAGGCAACGACTATTGCCGCGGCCGAGGAAGCCATGGCTCTTGCAAGGGCGGCGGTTCTAGCAGCTCGAGAAGCTGCCGAGGCCATTGCTGATGATTCTGGCGAAATGGAACTCGCGAACGAACCACTTGCTGGATCAACTTTGGGACTCGAGCAGAGCATCCAACTTCCAGAGGTGGCGAGGATTGAGACAACAGAAGAAGCGGAAGAAACTGCATTGCAAGCCAATGAACTTCTTTCAACAGAGGCGGAGAGCTTAGAGAGGAAGTACAACGTGGAAGTAGCGGTTACCTCTAGGAGGCGCAAACAAAGGATGATGAAAAGAGCACAGGCAGCAGAGAAGAGAAAGAACGAGATGGAGGACGGAGATGGGGAGACGATCAAAGGACTTTTTCCAGCCGGATCGAGAAAAGTCGTAGGCAGAGACCGGTACTGTCCACAAATATCTAGGAGGACTCGAATGTCTGCTGCCGAGGAGCTGGAAGCAATCAATGGTATTCAGGTGGGAATTCAAGGTACTTTCTTTGTAGATATATGATGAAATGCTGAGCTTGCTGGCTAAATTACTGTTTCGTGCGTTGTTTTTTTAATCTCAGGAGCATATAAAAATGGAAGCCTTGTTTACCAGCATGAGCGAGCAGCTTGGACGTGAACCAACATTCAGAGAATGGGCCGAGGCATTGAAAATAGAACCTCAAGAGCTTCGGAGGAAGCTCAAACATGCAAAAAGATGCAGGACCAACATGGTCTCTTCAAATCTCGGGCTCGTGATCAAAGTGGCCCGAAAGTTTGGTTTGAAGGGGACGACGATAGAGGATCTTATACAGGTGAAGTATCAAAGTTTCTCTGTCGAGCTAGTTTTTCTTCATGCATTTATCAACTTGGCTTTGTACTGCAGGAAGGGATCAACGGTTTACTTCACGGTGTTGAAAAGTTCGACACGTCTCGAGGTTTCCGGCTTTCAACGTACGTACTTTGGTGGATTGAGCTATCCGTAAGGAGGGCATCGGTGAAACGCAGCATAATGTGCCAAGTGCCTGTAAGCTCCTGTTCACTTCGAGAAGTACAGTTCAAATCTAAAAGAAACATTGTCTTTCAGATGCATCTATTTGATACGCACACTCGAGTTTTAAAGACGAGAGCCAGGATCTTCGAAGAACGTGGTACATTTCCAACAAACGAGGAAGTGGCCACGATCCTTGGAACGACTGCGCAAAAAGTCCATCTGGCTGCCAATCTTATGAGACATCCAAAGTCATTGGACGACAATGTACCAGGTTGCGACAACGTCACTCTTTTGGTAAGCAAAACCATATTCTTGCGACACTAAAAAAATTGTTAATTTTTTTCTTTTCTTTTCTTGTTTTTGCTACAGGAAATCCTACCGGACCCGGAAGTAGAGTCCTCTCTTCTAGTTGCCGAGAAGGCGCTACTAAAGGAACAGCTCGACAAAGTGCTCAATCTCCTGAAGCCCAGGGAGAAGGAAGTCCTGACACTCCGCTATGGCATTGGCGATGGAAGGGACAGAACTTTGGAGGAGCTGAGCCACCATTTCAACCTCTCTAGAGAACGAGTTCGCCAGATCGAGAAGCGTGCACTGGCCAAGATTCACGAGCTGGGAGGAAAGGAGCTACTGGCGAGTTTTGTCAAAACTTTCACCACCAATACTGACTTGTAATATCAAAACTTTCTCGAGCGCTCTTTAAAGGTACGTGGTAAAAATTTTGGTTTCTCCTCTATTTCTTTGTAACCAATCGGAGGCTGCCATGAATCAAGCTGCATATTCTTCCATTGCATGGAAAGTTTGCCAGTGAAGCGTGTCTCACTCTCAGTGAGTTTCGGTACAGTCAGTGCGTTTTTAAAGGGGGCTTTGGGCTTTTCAGTTCTGTACCAAGGTTCCAATGGCTTCTTACCAGGTTCTCACTTTTTCTCTTTGGTTATAAGAACTTTACTTGATCTTCCTCTCTTTTCTTTCCATCTTGTTTGTGTTTCCAGGACACTCAATCCGAGTACTACTATCCCACGACGGATAAAGACGCAACGATTCCAGTGATTGTTGTGGAAGACGACGCAGCAGCGGCAGAAGTCGACGACAAAGCTCCGGCTGTCGAGGGAGAGGACGCTCCGGAGCTCACCGACGAGGAAATCCAGAGTAAGTACCATTTGCGTTTCTCGTCCAGGTTTTTCTTATTCGTTCTTCTCTTTGCATTTTGCTTGGCTTGCAGAGATGGAAGATGAAGAGCTCAAGAACGAGGAAGAGGAAGATATTCCGGAGGAAGTTCTCAAGGAATCATGAAGATTTTCTTCTTTCTTCTCGTAGCCATGTTGGTAGATTTCTAACACTAGTCTCACTTACCTACGTTTGCAAGCTAATGTAGCTCTTTATTTACACAGAAATCGCCCCGAATTTTTTTTTTCAAAAATCCAATTTTTTCTTTCAAGGTGACAAGATTTTTTTCAGCTACCTAGTAGGGTTTGCTTAGAGCAAATGTCCACTGTGCGGGGGATCCAGAAGGGACGGAGGCTGAGTGGGTCGAATCGGTTCTTTCTTTTTGGCCTCCCGATCATAGCTGGGTCCGTCATTGGCTACGTTGGCATCGCTCAGATCGTTGCTGGGAGGTAACAAGCATTCTTTTTTTCGCTTTAATTTATTTTCTGGGATTCTAGAACTGAGGTCGTCCACGAGCGCGACGAGAGGGATTGGGAGCTTCTAAAAGTGACGCAGGCCCTTTCCAAGGAGGGGATTCTCAAGAACTTCAAGCAGAGAAAGCCCACCACACTCGAGGAAGAGCTCAAGGTAATTAACCGCGTGCTCTTGATCCTTGCTTAAGATTTAATTGTTTCTGGAATGCAGGCAATCCAGCAGCACGTAGACATCAACAATTTCGAGTACAAGAAAGTTCCACGGCCCGGAGAGAAGGCCGACAAGTGAATGGTATATCAAGCGATCGATCAACCTTTTCCATTATTCTTTTTTCCTGGATTGTAGGATCACGAGAAACGCAAGAGTCAAGGAACAAAGCCCGCAGAGGTTTATGCATTCGTGGGAGCGATCTCAACCATAGTCGCATTTGGTGAGTGAATACTTTAGATTCTCAATCTGAATCGCTGACAGTGGCGAACTACGAATCCAGGAGTGTATGTTATCTGGGCGTATCTCCCCGAACCTTGGCTTCATTATCTTGGAATAACGTACTATCCCGACAGGTAAGCTTTGGAAACACTACAAAGCTAGTGCCTTTGGTTTTACTCTAGCTCTCGCAGGTATTGGGCTGTTGTGGTTCCTGGGCTTTTCATGCTTGCAATTCCGTTTACTCTCCTCACTTACGTGAGCCTGAACCATCTGGCAACACCCCCAGCTTCGTCCTTCAACACGTTGTTTGGTAAGTTTGATCACACAAATTCCTGGCGCTCAATCTAAGTGGTAAGTTCTGTTCTAGATGATCACACGCGGGAGCCAGTGGTAGTTGCTGGTGGACAGGCAATTCAGCCCATCGGGGATTTGTCGTTAGTTCAAGTGAATCGGGCAATGTTTGTGAAACCTCTTTGATGAGCTCTTGTGAGAACTTGTGATCAAGGAGATCATTGTTTTCACTTTCTTTGTGAGCTAGTTTCCACTTTCAACTAGGAGTTGTTTCAAACAGCTAGTGAGTTGTGCATGCTTCTCCACAGCTACAATGTGCTGAGCACAGACGGACAAGTCCTTGGTAATCTACTGAGTGAATTGTGGATTATATAGATTTCACAAGTTTGAGTGAAAATGTTAGGAACTCTATTTTCCAAATAGTATTTAGTGATGCAATGTGGTGGATGGTCTCCAGCCTTTCGAAAGCCATTTACTTAATTGCGCTGAGAAATTTTCTTAATTAAGCGGGTTGGGAAAGCTAAATTTGTTCTGGAGTTTTTCAGGGGGGAGAGCGTTGAAGATCTAAAGGTTGCGTGTTTTGCTTTACAAACTCCTCTAAGAGAAGTGAGGAACTTTTGTCCACAACTTTGTATCCTGTTATTTTTTTAGTGTGACATTTTACCTACCATGAGAGTCAAGTTTATGTCACATTGTTGAAAGGAGATAGGTTAGGTTCTATGCTAGTCGAAGCACAGTAACAGTAAACACAGAATGACAATCTTAGAATATAACAGATCCCGGGTGGCGAGGGCACAAGCGATTCCCAGGATCCAGGATCAAAGCGATTTTTCTTTAGGATGGCCTTGGAAGAATCATATTCTCTTTTTTTTCTTGGTGCTTCTGCTGAAGGCTGTTCTTCAGTACTGTGCTCCATGAAGGACCACGCATGCATCTGAGCTTTCTGCATTCAGGCTTGTTCTATAATAATCTCTATGATCACAACCTCTTTCATGAAGATCTCAGAGGATCCCTCCAATAGCTGGACGTAGGGAGCGATCGTGAGGTGAAGAATGAATGCGTGGAGAGATCTTGTTGTTTGGTAGCATTGGTCATGCAAACATTCTTCTCTCTTTCCCTCTATTCTCCTTTATTTAAACTATAAGTCGCGTATCATGCTGACGGGCAGGGCATGCAGCAATTTGTCGTCAATTCACATAATGTTTGCGACATCATCTTGACAAAGTTGGGATGTGAGACTTTTACTTTTAAAGCTTAGGAGGAGGATTAATGTCACTTTGATTCTACTTTCTATTTGACTACCAGGGCATTTTAAAGAGCTTCTTTCTTCTCAACAAGACGAGCAACAATGCAGGGCACAGAAGCAAAGGATAGATCTGCCCCTGATAATCTAGATGACTACCTCGGCAGCAGTGTTCTTGCTGGAACATCCAAGATCTTTGTCAGGAAGGGATGGGACAGCGTTGAATCGCTCAAGTCAATGACCAGGAAAGATGTGAAAGCGCTGGGCCTTACTAAGCAGCAAAGGGTGAGTGTCAGAAATCTCTCATTTCAAAGAATTCACTCTTGTGCTTAAGCAGAAAGCTTTTGAGATGAGAAACTTTCTTGGCAAAATAGAGCTTTCCAGGTATGCAGACACGCTGGAGGCCTCTGGAAAGACTCTGTCTTCATTGCGAGCAAGTAGTAGCTTTGTTTTAATTTGTAAATATGGTATGGAGAAGGATGATGCTCTTCGATTCTTAGAACACAGAGAAGAAAATAGGCAGAGCAAGGTTGAGAAATTGATGTATGAAGAATGCATCCCTGGATGCATTTTTTGAGGCGAGGTTTGTTTATATAAATTTAAAATTATTCTTCAAAAGAATGGCTAAAAAGAGATTTGCCATTAAAACCAATCTAGAAGATGGACAAATAATCAGAAAATAAGTCTAAACTTTGTTCTCCTTGACTTTTTAAGCTGACACCTTCGAATTTGTGCTTGATGTTGGGCATTAGATCAAAATTGTTCTCTTCACAGATTCTGTGTTATGTTTTATAGCCAAAGCTCAATTTCAGCAGCAGCAGAAAAGCGCGCACCGGACAAATCTCCAGTCAACATCAAGCAGCAACGGATATACAGATATGATGCGCAATTAGTGATTTTAAAGCTTTGAATCACTGCTAGACTGCTGCTCTGCCATACTTATCAATGTCGGTCACAACATTGTAGACAAGAAAAGCTTTGTCCCTTCTTTGGTGTCGTCGAGAGTGTCTCCACTTGATGAGGAGCATGACCACAAGGGCAAGGACGATGAGCACAATGGCCACAAACGGGATCCACACCAAAGCTGTTGCTCCTGTTGTTGCCAGAGAGAAGTGTGCACCTTGAAGAGCTGGAAGGGGGTTGTTGGCTGCTGGGACTGTTGGGATTGCTAGGAATTCCTGGATCATTGTGAGGGTTCCAATCGACCCTTCTAGTATCACCGTGTGGATGCCAGTTAAAATGTCCAAGATCGTTGTGTGGATGCCAATCAACACTTCCAAGATCACCATGTGGATGCTAGTCAAAAGTTCTAGGATCACCATGTGGACGCCATTTGACACTTCCAAGATCATCACGAGAATGGTGATGATGCTTGTGAGCTAGAGGTGGTGGCTGAGATGGAGGAGCTCCAAAATGCTCACAAACATTATGTCAAGGAGGTAACAAGCCGGTGTGCTTTTCCCTTGGGTTCAATGGCTAACACTGTATGGATCATCTAGTGGTGAAGGAGGTGGTGTGGAATGATGGTGGCCGTGTTGAGATCTCCTGCGAGGACCAATGTAAAGGAGGTAGCCAGAATTGCAGAGGAACACATACGTGGAACTGCTGGGAGGTGAAACCTTGACCAGCTTTTGGCAGTGGCGTTGCACCATTGCTACCACTGTGTGGCAGTGGTGCATGGCATCCTAGACCGTGGCTGCCACCTTGTGGTGAGGAAGGCTAAGAGGGCCGAGGATGATCACCCAGTGGTGGAGGATGGTGGCTGTGTTTACCTCTCTTGTGAGAATTATGTAAAAGGAGGTGTTTAACAATGCAGAGGAATACATATATTGGATTGAAAGCTTGAAGGGCAACCAACATTTGGCGGTGGTGGTACTGTGTGCAGAAAGTGGTGGTGGTGTTGGATGATTACCCGATGGGGGAGGATGGTGGCTATGTTTACCTCTCTTGCGAGAATTATGTAAAAGGAGGTGTCCAACAATGCAGAAGAACACATACCTAGGATAGCTGGAGTCTCGAAAGCCTGAAGAGCGACCAGCTTTGGTGCACCACTGTGTGTTGAGGAACACTAAGAAGGTGGCAGTGGTGTGCTTTCTGCCACTGGACCATTGCTGCTGCTGCTGTGTGCTCCAGAACGTGGTGATGGCTGAGGCAGAGGAGCTCGACCCAAGTGGTGGCGGCCTGCTGGAGTGGAGCTTGCTAGCCGAGGAGTTGGTGGTTGTTGTGTATGCCAAGTCTTGTATGTACCATTGTGAAAGCAAGCAAGCCACAATGGAGGAACATACCTGAGATTGTTATGAGACGCTGGCCCTCTCTCCTTAGTTGGTGTTGAAGACAAAGGTGGTGGAAGCCAATGATGGTGGCCTTGAAATCATTGTTGGTGGTGATGGTTGAAGTCCTGCTTGGTGTTGGTGGTCCAGACTTCCTCCCTAGGGTAATGGAGTTGGTGTCCATGCACTGATGAACGATGGTTTCCATGGTTGTGATTGTAGAGTTTTACTCAATAGTGGTGGTGGTGTCCATAAGCCCCTTCCCTGGCTGGAGGCAGAAGTGTCAGCCTTACCTCACCAGCAAAGCTTGTTATTTTTCTTGCTTGTTGTGCTTGTTCTAAATGCTGAAGAATCTGCCCCATGTTTCTCCTACTTGTTATCTTCTCCCCTTACTGACTTTGATGGATTTCCTTCTTTATGCTCTAAAAATCTCTTGCTTTTGAAAAACTAGGGCTTGGTGGAGTTGTCAGGTTGCAATGGGTTTTAAAAGTATAATTGGGAAAGTGAGGTTAAAGATTTTTCAATGGTGCTTGCAAATTGAGTTGAAGGAGACTAGAAGTTAATAGCCTTAGGTGGGAGTGAGTATGGATTCAAAGAGTGCAAAAGATGCTCCTAAAGTGTAAAATGAAAGGTCAAGTGTAGTCAGGATATGTTAACACACCTCCAAGACCAATGTTAGAAGCATTATAAAGAAGTGTTTAAAGAGTAATTTTAGTCCTTCTTTTGGGCTTGGGCTTTTTCGTTGGGATGAAAGTGGAAAGTAAGGGTACCGATTTCAGGCTATAGTGTATGGTGTTTCTTTTTGAGGTTCAAATTAAAAAAAGGTACATAAGGTTTAGGATTTATAAAGTTTTATGACCAAATCTTGTTATACCTAAAAAATTATAGGTTTAATATGTTTGTAGCCAAATTTTAAATTTAATTTAACCTGAAAAAAGGGATTAAAAGAAAATTTAGAAATCCATGGATAAATGACTAACACTTTACTACTTGTGCAATGAGTAGCTAAAGTTAAATAAGATCAAATACAAGTTAGGCTTTAGCAAATGAACTTAACTGAGGCTAAGGTAAAAATGCTAAAGTAATCTAGCAAATTAGAAAAGAAAAAATTATAATTTACACATTGTTTGTCTTTTGGAGAAGAAAAAAATGTTATGGCTAAAAAGGGATTTGTCAAATAGAAACTAACTCACAAAGAAGTGTTGAAAAAATCAATCCTTCTCCATTTGAACTTTGTCAATATAATATTGCAAGGCAACTATGTTTTGAACACATTCATTTTTTTATTTATAGGTTAATTTATGCTTTAAAATAATACCAAATGGGAAAAAGAGAATTGCCATTAAAAAAATTCTAGAAGATGGACAAATAATTCAGAAAATAAATTTAACCCTCTTGTTGTTGGATTTTTTAAGATGACATTTTCGAATTTGTAAGAGATTTCAAAGGCAACACATTTGTGCTTGATGTTGAGCATTGTATCGTTGTTGCTCAATATTGAATATTGCTGCTGCTCAATGTGGCTCAGTTAGAGATTTAGATATAGCTACAACGTAGAATGGCGCTGATGGTGAATGAGCTTCGGTTATAAAAGATAACATTAGAATTTATGAAGAAAATAACTTTGATTTTAAAGCTTACCTTGAATCACTGCTAGACTGCTGCTCTGTCATGCTCATCAATGTCAGCCACAACACTATAGACAAGAAAAGGTTTGTCCCTTCTTTGGTGTCGTCGAGAGTGTCTCCACTTGATGAAGAGCATGACCACAAGGCCAAGGATGATGGGGAAATGGCCACAAACGTGATCCACACCAGGTTGCTATTTCTGTTGTTGCTAAAGAGAAGTGTGCACCTTGAGGAGCTCGAAGGGGGCTCAAGCTGTTGCCTGTTAGGACTGTTGGGACTGTTGAGGCTGCTAGAATTCCTAGATCATCGTAAGGGTTCCGATTGATCCTTCCAAGATCACATTGTGGATGCCAATCGAAAGTTCTAGAATCACCATATGGACGTCAATTGACACTTCCAAGATCACCATGAGAATGGTGGTGATGCTTGTGAGTTGGAGGTGGTGGCTGAGATGGAGGAGCTCCAGAATGCCTACAAGCATTACGTCAAGGAGGTAACAAACCATGCAAATGACCACAATACTCAAAATTGCTGGGAGGTGAACCTTAAGAGCCTGAAGAGTGACTAGCTTTTGGTGGTGGCAGTGCACCACTGTTGCCACTGTGTGCAGAGGAATGTGGCGGTGGTGCGCTTTTCCCATGGCGTCAGTGCCTGCCACTATGTGGATCATCCGGTGGTGAAGGAGGTAGTGTGGAATGATGGTGGATCTCCTGCAAGGATCAATGTAAAGGAGGTAGCCAGCATTGCAGAGGAACACATACTTGAAATTGCTAGGAGGTGAATCTCGACCAGCTTTTGGCTTTCCCTATGGTGTCCTGGACCATGGCTGCCACCATGTGGTGAGGAAGCCTAAGGATGATCACCCGATGGTGAAGGATGGTGGCTATGTTTACCTCTCTTATGAGAATTATGTAAAAGGAGGTGTCTAGCAATGGGCGGTGAGCCTTGAGAGCTTGAAGAGCAACCAACTTTTGGCGGTGGTGGTGCACCACTATGTGCAGAAAGTAGTGGTGGTGTGCTTTCCCTATAGTGTCCTAGACCGTGACTGCCATTGCGTGGTGAGGAAGGCCAAGAATGATCACCCAGTGGTGGAGGATGATGGTTGTGTTGCGAGAATTATGTAAAAGGAGGTGTCCAGCAATGGAGAAGAACACATATATGTGGAGTCTTAGAGAGCCTGAAGAGCGACCAGCTTTTGATGATTGTGGTGCACCACTGTGTGTTGAGAAACACTGAGAAGGTGGCAGTGGTGCGCTTTCCGCCACTGGACCGTTGCTGCTGCCGCTGTGTGTGCCAGAAAGTGGTGATGGCTGAGGTGGAGGTGGTGGTCTGCTGGAGTAGAGTTTGCTAGCCGAGGAGTTGGTGGTTGTTGTGTAGGTCGAGTCCTGCATGTACCATTGTGAAAGGGAGCAATACAAGGAAGGAAACACTGGCCCTCTCTCCTTAGTTGGTGTTGAAGACAAAGGTGGTGAAGCTGAGTACCCTCACTAGTTGCCAATGATGGTGGCCCTGAAGTCATTGCTAATTGTGAGTCCTGCTTAGTGTCGGTGGTCCAGACTTCCTCTCCAGGGGCCATGGAGTTGGTGGCCACACACCAATGGATGATGGTTTCCATGGTGGTGACTATGGAACACTACTCACCGATGGTGGTGGTGTCCATAAACCCCTTTTGTTAGAGCCCTGGCTGGAGGCAGAAGTTTCAGCCTTAGCTCACCAGAAAAACTCGTCATTTCTCTTATTTGTTGTGCTTCGAAAAATCTACTTCTCTCCTTGCTTATTATGGTGGTTTAGGGGAAAAATAAACTAGTCACGAAAAACTAGGGCTTCGCTTGGATCGGACGGCCAAAAGCGGAAACCTACCATCTACGTCTCAGATTGAACTCGAAATGTGGTTTAGATCAGTTAATAAGTACACTTAGTTTACAAAAGTTCTTTTCCCCGTACGTCCCTTTTCAAGGACGTACGGAACGCTTCTGTTCTAGCTCGCGATCAATCTGCCAAAACCGAGGAGCCACAAAAACTCTCATCAAGAACAAGAGAGATCCTGATCCTAGACTGGAGGAAGACGATCACCCTCCAGCTTCGCAGCAGCAGTAGCAGCGTTATTACCATCTTTCAAGAACTGGAAAGAGTCCATACCTCGCGAATGGTAGCTGCTAACTTTCTCCCGGATCTCTGCCGCCACCAGTCTCGTCAACAGCAGGCCCGCCACCAGCGCCGCCACCATCAGCATGTAGAAAACTTTGTCCCAGCCGCTGGTGGAGAGATATCCTGTCAACACTGGCCCGATCGCCGCCCCCAGCGATCCACACCCATCGATGATCGCAGTCACTGTTGCCAGAGCTCTCGCGTCGCCCTTGAGCGAGCTGTGAGTTCCGAGGTCGGCTGACACCGCGGTCGTGATGAGCGCGTAGGGGCCATTGACGAGCATCCCCGTGATCATCATCAGGGCGATGCTGGACGCCATCGACGTTGATCCGTACCGGTGGTAGAGAAGCAGCGCTGGAATAGCCAGGTAAGTCATGGTTGCCGCTGTGATTGCTCGCGCTTTGAGCCTGTCCGAAGCGTAGCCGGCTAGGATCCCACCAAAGACTCCACCGATGTCGAAAAGTGTTGACAGGTTCCCAGCAGTCTTTTCCGACAGGGATTTCTCTCCGACTCCTGCAAGAACACCACCAAGTTCGTCAACTTCGTCAAGGAAGATAGATTAAAAGAAAGCTTCAGTTCTATATGTTGTGTTACCTGAGAATGGGGATGCGGTAGACTTACTAGTCTGCTTGATGTAGAACGGCAGCCAGTACAAGAAAGTGTAGGCGACGAGCTTGCAGAAGAACAGGCAAAACGCAAAAGGAAGAACTCCTGGGATCTTCCAAGCCTGTAAAAACTCCACGGCCTTTCCACGCTCGGGGCTCTTTGCTCGGCTGTGCTGCTGAGCCGAAGAGATGAGAGGAGCTTCCAAGTCGTCTCGAGCAGGTTCGCTGATTCTCAGCGAGCTCGACGACACCGCCACCTTTGTTGCGTTCTCGGTCGCCTCCACCTCCGCTGGGCTCGGCAAATCCACGTCCGCTGGCTCCACCACCAGGAACAGAAACACCAGGATCCCGGCTACGATTATCAAAACTCCCGGAAAGATGAAAGAGTATCCCCAGCCGAGCTCCAGCGCGCTAGCCGCGACGAGCGATCCGATGATGTTTCCAACTGAGGTGTGAGCGTTCCAGATGCCCATGATGAGACCTCGCTTAGATTTTCCAAACCAGTTCCCGACGATGGCGACGACCGATGGCCACCCTGTCGCTTGGAACAGCCCCGCCATGATCTGGACGAACATAAAGTAGTAGAAGTCGTGGATGTTCCACCAGTAGGCCATGCCAAAGAGGCACACGAAGATCCCACTGCCAACCATGCCAATGCTGAGAAAAACTCTGAGATCCATCGTGTCACCCAGATGCCCTGCAAAGAACATTGCGAAGGCGTAGAAGGCGAGGAACGCGAGATCCACCTCGCCGAGCCTGACCTTGCCGTTCCTGCCATTGAATGGATACCAGCCCTTATTCTCACCGCTGCTCGATCGCTCGGGGTCGAGCACGCTCTTGACGATGCTTGGCGGCTTGCGCGACGCGTGGTAGCATGCGTAGGCCACGAATGTGAGCGCGAGGACGAGGAATCGGTAGAATCCATACTGGAACTGCCGGCCGCTGAGGCTCCGCGAGATCGCGATCCCTGGCGGCGTTACCCTCTTGTTGGATGTGAGCGACGGGCACGGCTCCATCGCGCCCAGCGATCGATCGATCGCACCCTATCAAGGTTGTCCGCGAGCCCTAAAATATTCCTTGCCCATCGTCTCTTCATTCATATAGGGGATGATCACCAACACCCTTTCACGAGAGTTTCTTCTAACCGCCCGATCACTCCATCCTAGCCGTCGATTCGATCTCCAATAAAGATCCAGGAGATTAGGGCTCTTGGGCGCCAGGGTTCTTGAAATTTCCGGGGTTTTAGGCGGGCTCCCGATCGATCGATCCATTGATCGAGCGCTAGGGCGAGGTAAGATGCAGGGATCGCAGCAGCAGCAGCGCCAGGATTCCGGGAAGAAACGGAAGAAACCGGAATATGTCTATGGGAATTATCCGTTCTACTATGGCTACCGGGTCGGGAAGACGCTGGAGGAGGATCCGAGAGTCAGTGTTTTCAAGCAAGAATGGATCGAGAACAGGGATTGTCTCGACATTGGGTGCAACGAGGGGCATGTGACGATCGCGCTGGCGGTGAAGTTTTGCTGTAAGAGCATGGTGGGAGTGGACATTGATAGCAAGCTTATCTACAAGGCACGATGCAATCTACAGCACGAAGTGGAAGCGCTGGAGAAGGAGGAGAAAAGCAAGGAGGACGAGAGAAAAGTAGAAGATGGTGAGAGGATTGCCGAGGAGAAATGCCTCGAAGGGATCGGCACGCAAAAGGTGGGTTTAAAAGTAGCCGCGGCAGCCAATGACGATGGTGGCGAAAACGAGAAAGAGCTTGCAACGTGCCACGACGACGAGAAAGATGGTGTCGAAGAGAAAGGAATCGGGAAAATGAGAGCTGCCGAGGAAAAAGATGGTGTTAAACACGAAAGCATGGCTGCCGTGGAAAGTTGTGAGAAAGAAGCCGAGAGAAGCTTTGTTGAGGTGGTTTCTGTGAGGACGCAAGGGGACAATTCTGTGGAAACAGCTACGGCAGTACATTTTGAGGGTAGCGAAAACGGAGTGACCGAGAAAGAATTTCTAGCTTCTCACACAAGTGATGGTGTCGAAGAGAAAGAGAAAATGGAAGCTAACAGAGTTGAACCAGCCGCGAAGGAAAATGGTGCGCAGAAAACCGAGGAAACTGTGTTTGGAGTGAATGGAGGATCGCAGGCTAACTCGATGGAAGAAGCTGACGAGGGGTATCCTTTCAAGCAAGGTGGTGAACAGAAGAATTCTGGGAAAACTCCAAGCACAGATTCTGAGGAAGCAGCCGTCGAGCAAAAAGCTGCCAAGTGTGGGGTCGTAGCTGGCGGAAAGCACACTGCAAAAGAAGCTGGTGATGATGTTTTAAGCGGGCTAGAGCTTTCGGAGAGAGTTACATTCAAAACTCAGAACTACCTCGACGTTTATTGCAAGCCCGGGACGTACGACACCATCCTCTGCTTGAGCATTTCCAAGTGGATTCATCTCAACTGGGGCGACGAGGGCCTCCTCAAGTTCTTCGCGAAGGTTTTCAAGGAGCTCCGGCCGGGTGGCCGCCTGGTGCTGGAGCCTCAGCCGTGGGAATCATACAGCAAGAAGCGGAGAGTTTCCGAGGTGACGAGAAAGAACTTCCAGAGAATAAAACTCCGGCCGGACAACTTCCCCAGCATTCTGACCGAGAAGATTGGATTCAAGTTCTACGAAGAGATCAGCTCGGAGCTGCCGAGTGATAAGTCCGGATTCAGGCGGCCGCTTTTTGTCTACCACAAGTAGAGTAGCACCGGGACATAGCTACAGTTCTGGGAATTCTGAGAAGACAGGAGATCTCACGGGGGAAACAGTGTCAGCTCTGGGAGACCATTCACTGCAAGAGGTGTGCCAGGGAAATAGTTGTACGTTTGGGAAATTCCGCGAAGTCCACTGCAGGGAATGTAGCGTTTAAGCAACGTAGCAGCAGCAGGCTTCGAGCTTTCTGAAGGCGTCCCATCATCGCAAAATCCTGGAGGATCCCGTGTGAGCTCAAGCAAGTCGACAAAAGCCAACAGTTGGACTATTGCGACTTAGCCACGTACGTGTTCTTCTTTTTTCTTTCCATTTCTCTATTGCTTGTCTCGTCTTCTCTCCTTGCTTGGCTTATTAAATTTCTAGCGTGATTCTTTCTCGCCTTCCCGTGGCTCGCCGCCACGGCGTTTGTCGGATGCTCTTCACCATGAAATTTTTTCTGTAGGCATTCAAGTATCGAACGTGGTTTGGATGGACTACTCGGGAGTTTGAAGTTCGTAGACGACAACCTTCGTCATTTCCTTCACGAGACGAGCAGTATGTTTCTCTCATTCTCGCTTGCGTTTTTTAGTTCTAGTTTTCCTCTCTTTGCTTCATTCCCTGTAATAGTTTTTACAGCTTGTTGGACGACTCTCGCCAAGGTTTCTTCTTCGTAGGTGGTATGCTCTAAACTTTCCTTTCCAGTCTGATACGCTGGCGTTGTTTAATCGATCTGCCATTCTGTGCACAGTTGTTGTTTTTATCTGGATTGACGCAGCAACGGATTTAAATTGGGGTGTTCTTGACTTTGAGCGGCGAAAGATCACTGGAACTTCGGGGGCGGGGTTATTCTAAACTGGCAGCAAATAATGCCATGTGTTGTGGACTTGAGAATGGATTCTTCTAAGTGTTTTTCTAAGGGATTGGCGAGAAAACTAGTGGGGCGAGTCAAATGGATGAGATCAGCTTTCACCAAAGCATAGTGTTACAAATTAAGAGTGGAAAGTGACTGAGATGAGAGAAGAGACCCATTCATTGTCACCTTCACTGGAATGGAAAAAAACATGGCCAACTTCAATGAAAGAACACAAATCAAGACAAAGAGCGATCTAATCTCTCTTGTTTTGTGCATTGTTTGATTGGAACTGTTGTCTCCCTTTGACCTTTCCCACTAGTTTAGACAATTTTCTTTAAAGAAACGCCTATTGACTTTTCAACTTCCGCCACCACCTTTTTCTGACCTAATTCTTCGCCCAAACCTAACCCGCTTTGACCGGCTGTGACCGTGACACGTGTCAGGCGTGACACAAACTTCAAATATTCCTGACGCCCGCCCGTCACGCTTGCCAGAGGCCGTATTTGACGGCCTCTAAAAACCCCTTGCTTCGCGCCGGCCGCCCGTCAGATGAGGTCAACCTTGACGTTTCAGTTTTTTTCCCCCTCCCTGCCGGTTTTGTCGGTGTGTGAAAGCGACGCTTTAGGGTTAGGTAAGGCCTATGTCATTTTACCTTTGCCGCGAGAGGTTAGCAGCTTAACCGGGGTTCACATCACAGCCGTCAGATCGGCAGAGCCGGCGGCAATGATGTTGCCAGGTAGGCGCACAAAAATCTCTTTTCACCGACCGCGTTCTTTTTCTTCCACCTCGGTGCCGTACGTACGGTGGACCCACACGGTAAGGGGCGGGCATGTCCATGGAGTCATCATGGACCCATGTGACTTCTCTATGATGGGGACCATGTATGGTATGGTACCCCATCACATCATATCATGTGACTTTCATCACTCCCATTTGGCAGCGGCTCTTTGGTAGCTTTAGAGCGAGCGCGGTGTGGGTTTCTTGCCCTTCACGAGATTTCGCTCGCTCGCTCGCTGTGCCGTTCCCTGCGACAAATCGATCGATCGGTCGGACAAAACGACCTCTGCAAGTCGAGCAGCGCTTAGCCAGTCCGATCAAAACGAGTGATTGATCGGAATCCAATCTCTGGACAGCTAAAGCTTAAAAGCAAAACTAGACTAGAATCGCAAAGTACTTTCCTCGCTGAGAGAGCTCCGGAGCTCATAGAGATGTCGTGAGCCGAGAGAGATACAAAAGGAGTCTTGAGAGAATGTACGTATACATACATACGCTTTGTTTCCTGACGAAGCAGCAGCAGCAGCAGCAGCACAGCAGCTGCCAGTGCTGTGCCGAAAGTCTCAAAATTGTGGCATCCCGCCTTACGTGACCTGCAAGGCAGAAGAAAGTAATCAGGTCCCTCGCAGGAGAGAGAGGTAATGAAAAAGAAGAAGACGATATAATACTTGCATACATACCTCCAGACCCAAGCAAAGAGTGTGTAGTGTGTGTGTGTGTGTGCACTGGTGAACAGTCGTCAGTCAGGCGCATTCCTTTTGTCTTTGTAGTTGTAGCTGTGAGCTCCTTTCCTTCCTAGGCGTGGCAGTGAGAAACATTAGTAGCCCCGAGAGCAAAATCGGCTTACCACTGTTGTTGGTTTTCCTGTTTTGCTGCTGCCGGTGTGCTGCTGCTTCGAGAGAAACTCTTTTGTTTCTCTTCAAAGTGTGTACTGAAAGTCGAGGCGATGGTGGTCGTAGTGTTCTTTGAGCATGTGGCTAGCCAGTGAGTGTGTGCATCGAGCGTAGTGTCCGAGCCCTCCCGAGAAGTAGCGGCAGCAGCAGCATTTTTTAAAGAGGAAAACGTTTTGAGCCGCGCACTGATTGATGCGGCCTAGATTCGGGAGCCCCGAGTTGAGTCAGCGGTGGTGGTGGCGATTCGCAGATGCACGGGTGGCGCTGCTGGCGGCGGCGGTGTTGTTGTTGTTGAAGCAGCAACGATTTCAATGTGGCAGCATCAGCAGCAGCAACAGCAGCACAATTCCTTCCGGCTGGACAACAGGTTCGTCGTCAGAGAATGCGAAGCTGCTGGCCTGTTAAGTCGAGCTGACTCTGCAACCAAGCTCGTCTCTCTAGCAACAACCGGGCTTGATTCCTCCGGCTGGCAACGAGCCGCAGCCTTGGTCCAAAGCCCGCTTAGTGCCAACTCAGAAGGCAGCTCCACCTCCACTCCCGATCAATGTCCGCCTTCTCCAGCTCCGACTTTCTGTGAGATGTAAGTCTGTCCCCGAGCTCGGCCACCCGAGCTCCAGCCATGAGATGCTTCAAACTTCGAGCTTGACAAGCGTGTTGACTCGACTCGTTTGTTTCTCTTGTCGCAGGCCGAGCTCGCGCAATGGAAGCTGCAATAACCATACTAGACAAAAGGAAATGCATCAGCAGCATCAGCAGATTGCGTGGAATAATCTACCTTCCCAGTCTCCCGCTCCAAAGTCCGCCTCATTATTGGAAGTGGAAGGCGAGTGTGCGAAGTGGTCGAATCGGGCTGATAATCTCTTCGACGATCAGGCGCACGATGCATACGGCACTCCAATTCTGTAAGAAGAATTTTTTCGGTGTCTTTAAGTTTCGTGATCTCGAGTGTTCAAAGCCTTTCCGATATAATTTCTCTTCTCTTTGCGCCTTTCTGTCCAGGAATTCCAGTCAAGGCTATGCGGTGGACGCGCTTCTCGTCTGTAGAACGGCCGAATTAATGTCTCGAAGCTGCTCGGAAGATACTCATCGGAGCTTGCAAAATCCAGTTTTGGTGTCGCCGGGAAGCCGAGGCTTGAGTTCAATGTACCAGGTTGAAATGCAAGTCCCTCCGCCGGTGATCAAGCACGAAGAGGAGTTCTTTCTCGGTGGCCGCAATGGTCTGGTCATCGACGATAAGGTCCTGGCGCTCCAGAGGTCTTCCACCGCGACAAGTTCGTCCAAAATCGGTAACTTTATGGATCTCTTGCGCCAAGCCGATAGGCCAATCCCGGATGCCACAGCTGCTGCGAGTGCGAGTTGCAGTCACCTCGGTCAGCTCCTCAGCGGCAGCCAGGACACTCCGGAAATGTGGCTTACGCGCTCCAGCAGGCTGCCTGCAATGCTCTCGGAGGTGCTGCCGTCGAATTCTGCAGGAAAATCCACCGAGTCATACGAAAGAAACAAACGAAAGCCGACAGATGTGGATACTCGGGATCGTGGTTCTACGGTACAGCTCCAGGAGGCCGTGATCCCAAAGCACCAGGTAACATCTCCTAAAGACGAGAAAATCACATACACACTTAGAACTCGCTCGAACGCATCGATTCTGATTACTATAAATTGATGCAGGATGACGATGAACCTGCGACGAGTGACCGGGTACCGGGCCTCTTTGGAGGGGTTGCAAGCAGCAGCAGCGGCGAGCCCGAGCTGTTCTCGAAAAGACCCAAGCTTGAAAATAGCAACTCCTTCCCTTTCAAGGTAGGTGCCTGCACAACGTTTCCAGGCATTAGTTCTATGCATTTACTACTAAGGAATCCTGCATGAGTCTTTAGGACAAGTTCCTAGTCAAGCTTCCAGTAGATGCTGACTTTAATGAGCAGAACAATAAATAGGGGCTGATCCTTGTACCTGGAGCTGATTAAGTTTTTGGAAATGGAAATGCAGATGCAGGTGAGGAAAGAGAAGCTTGGAGAGAGAATATCAGCACTCCAGCAACTGGTCTCGCCATTTGGAAAGGTAAAGAGTACCTGTTTATGTACGCTGATTCATGTCAACCAAGTCGGCGTTGTGCAGACTGACACAGCCTCCGTATTGCTGGAAGCGATCGGGTACATCAAGTTCCTGCACGAACAAGTCCAGGTAAAACAAGCACTCTCCCCGGTTCTAGTCGCTTCTTTCTTTAACTATGTTGGATCTGAAGGTGCTCAGCTCGCCTTACATGAAACCAGCCGGGGTCAGTACGACGACACGGCAAACCGTAAGCCGACTTACTTACTAGCATTGCTTGTCCAAACTTCACTTGACATGCGTGGCCCAGGAGCATGGAAAAATCTGCGAGGACAGGCAAGATCTCAGAAGCCGGGGTCTATGCCTGGTACCGGTGTCCTGCACTTTACAGGTGGCTAACGATAACGGAGCCGACTACTGGGCACCCACGCTCCACGGACTCAAGTAACCCGAAGTGGAAGAACACACACCGGACTCTAGGAACAAGCAGCGCAAACACTGAAGGACTCTCGGAGTTCTCAGCCAAATTTTAGTGACGAAACTCGAGCTGACCAACGGAAAACTGTCTTGTACATTCCGCAAAAGCATGATAGCATGCATCGGCAATTGACACTGTAATCACCTCACAAAATAAAAGACTGACAGTGCGAGGAAAACCACTAGCATCCTGCATTCGAGCTAACGAAAAAACCACTAAGCTAACCATCTACGGACTTAGCCCGTTTCCATACAATCACCAGACCTTCGCAATCTGAAGAAGCTAGCAGGTTCTCTCCGTAGTTCCACGAAACGCCAACTATTGGTGCGCCATGCCCCTGCACAAACAAAACGAAGTTTAGTTCGCGCTGCGCTCAGTTATAATGAACAGCTTACCTGTAGCTTATTAACACAGGGATGCTTTGGTCTTGTAAAATCGTAAAAATACACATTCTTGTCTTCGCTCCCAGTAACTGCAAGCAAAAGAAACGAGCTAATAAAAAAGAGAATAGCCACATAAGAAACACTTGAACCTATGAATTCTCCCTTTTCCAGTGATAGCAGAGGGCAGAAAGATGCTCTTGTGTTTCTTGCAAGAGGAGGCAAGTGTAGGGAGCATCTTAGAGTAAGATATCCGTTCACTTGCAGTGCAACACTGAAAAGAAAATGTTACCGAGCGCAGAGGAAACCAAGACCGACGAACCTGAAGAACCGCAGACTGCCATCTTGATTTGAAGCAAGTAACACAGGCCCACCAGCTAGACGGGAAAATATTCTGAATTGCACAGTCGTGGTCGTGGACTTACGCGCAAGACCCATGTTATTCTTGTGTGCGTACGACAGTGTGGCAGTAATAGAGTCCACCGCTATACTGTAGATGCATCCCTGATAGAAAAAAAAATTGGTATCAAACAGTCGCAATAAAGAAAGACCGAAAAATTCTTACGGTTGAATCACCAGCAAACAAAAGGCGGCCCGACGGATCAAAATCTAGAGCAGTGATTTGTCTTCCAAGGTCCAAATGGCTCACGTGCCGCCCAGTACTGAAGTTGATAACCTGAGCGAAAAACAAAAAGTTAGATTGCAGCAGCGAACTTAGCCGCGAGTACCTTCAACTGGCCGGTTCCGGTTCCGACGACTAGATAGTTGTTATTTACCTGGGAGAAAAGTTCTTTAGGCGCTCGAGCATCGCAGAGGGATAGTCTGCTCACTCACAGGATGAAAGCGGATGCATAGTTGGGACACTTTGTCGTATATCACTCGGATGCAATGACCTTCGCTCGTATCCCAGATCCTGACGCTTTTGTCCAGAGACGAGGAGCACAGGTACTTGTTATTGAGAGACCAATCGAAATCTAGTTTCCTGTCAGGAGTTAACAGCTTCAAAGCTTCGTAAAGTAGCCATTTACCTGTGATCTCCTTGGAATGACCCCTGAGGAGATGAAGAACTCGCGGCGAGCCTTCGAGCGAGCATACTGTAAGTGTGCCATCCGCTGCGCCAAACGCTAGTAGATCAGAGCTGAGGTTACCAAATCGAACAACATTCACTGCAAGAAGAAGAAAAAGATCAAGTTAGAAGAAAGGAGAAGACATGAAGAAGAAAAACAAATACCCGATGCTTTGCAAGAATCAAACAAGCACTTCATTCCAGCAAAGGCGTAAGCTGGTTGCTCGGATTCGTCTGCTTGCACAGAGCTTGATCGGCGACTCGAGATTGAAGCAGGACTCTTAAGAAGCAGAAAAAAAAAAAAAAAAAAACCAACACCAAGAACAAGAAAAGAAAATCACCACCACAGTGACCATCTTCTAGCAACTCTACACGAACCTTGCTTAAATCTTTCGAGAGTCGGCCCTCAGATGGAGCCCATTCACTGTGATCGACACTTGGCTTGACATCGCAAATATATTTCCTGTACGCTACATATCCAGTCCCGTTGCAATCCCAGTTCTAGACAAGAGAGAAGGCGCAAATGCAGGCGCCAGACAAGAAAGAAAGAAATTTACCTGGCGCGAGAGCTTCCCATTCATCGCTTGCCTGTGGAGCAGCAATCTTCGCATTGTCACATAATCCTCCTCGCGCTTGGACAGAGATCCCGGCTCCAGAGCTATGGCCAGGCGATCGGCCACAGCGTAGCTCCCATCGCCTTCCACCGCCAGCATTCTCCACAAAGAACAGAGCTCTACCTAGGGTTCTTGGAGTAGGGCAAATATTTTGGGATAGATGACCCAATGGCGCTGTGTCTCCTCTCCACGATCTTGGCGACATCGCGATCGGAGGGCCTGCTCGCGTCTCTAGTAGATTCCGGCGACCTGCTGGCCGATCCATCGAGCAGCGATGGCGCAGCGCCTCCTTCACAGGTGAGCAATGATCCAAAGGGCTGCCTCGCGTTTGCTCGCTCCAATGGCCAGCACGGGGTGCTCTACTACCTTGTTATGCTGCTCCCGGTGTTGGCTTTCACGGTCTTTCTCATCGCTCGCGCTCGCAAATGCGTCAAGAAGCTCCTCCAGAGCCAGTCGCCGATCATGGCCACTTACTATGCTTGCCTCTGGATCATCTCGATTCTCAACATCTTGTGGTGCGTTCTCGAGGTATGATCGCCATGATCGATCCATCGCTTCGCTCAAAGTTTTTTCTTTTCGTATCCAGATGAAGCATTCCAGCAGCACGTCTTGGAATCTCATCTCACTGCTCACTCGATTCGGTATGGTGCTACTGGAAGTCAGTGTGGTGGTGTTCTTATCGCAGGGCTATCTCACCAGTACATGGGATGCTCTCGTTCGCACTCTCACTTTCTCTGGATTCGTCGCAGCGGTTGATGCATTGATCAAGGTATGATTTTTGCAAAGAAGATTTCTAATGCCACCCAAAACTTGTGTAGGCAATTCTCATCTTCCGGTTCGGTATACCATTGTTCGTGGCAGGAAGTGATGCAGGGGACTGGTCCAAATGGAGCTTTTGGTTCCTCCATTCCCTCGTCTTTTCGGGCGTCTACTTCTTCATCCTGGTTCTCCCTTTCACGAGATGGCGAGATCACTTACCGGGTATGGTTTCATTTTTTGCCTTTCTTGTTCGAACTTCTCGTTTGTGGCTGTTTCCTGTTTTTGCAGCGAGACCGGCGTTCTATAACTACGTGCTCGTTTTGTTTGTTCTAAACATGTCGCGTTCCCTGGGAAGCTTTATCCTCGGATGTGGATCGGAATTCGGCTACTGGTAATTGCAACTCATCTTTCTTTTCGTTTCTTCATTCTTCGTCATTCATTCCAAACGATTTTGCAGCATCTATAGCTTCACAAACTATGCGTACTACGCGTTCTATCCGCCTCTCTTGTATCTCACGTTCCTTGCCGACTATTTCAAAGTAAGCGAAATGGAGTTCTTTCTCTCAATCTCTCGCACAATTCTCTTTGGATTTGTTTTTCAGGAAGAAGCGTTCCAACTCGAGGATGTATATTACTCGGAAATGAAAGACGCGGGCTACTTCGACGCTGACTGGGACTGAAAAGCTCAAAATTTTGGGCCTGTAGAAGAATACAAATACTAAAGCTCGATGGTACATACATACATTTACTGGTCATGGGTTCGAATCTCTTCTAGAACGGTCGTTTGGTCGATCCCTTAAACGCCGCCACGTGTCATTTCCAGGGTTCTAATTTCTAGACTTGGCGATGGTTGCGGCTGCTCTTGGGAGGGCGGGCGCGAAGCTCTCTGGCGATCGATCGTGTCTCTGGCGGTAATGCATCCTCTGCAATCTCCTAGGAAGTAGCTGATAATCGTATTGGCGCGCGGCGCTTAGGATCGCGGGCAATGAGAAATGGCGGTCCCTTTGCTCGGGGCCAGCTGCCAAGCCTCCGCCGCATCCAACTGAGGAAGCAGAGACGGTTGACGTCCAGCCCGAGAGGTCGAAGGTAGAGGAAAGTCTTGGAATTTTTGCTGGATCGATGAAAGCTTTCAATGGCTTTTTTTCCTTTTGTAGATTTTGGTTTTGGGAGGAAATGGATTTGTAGGTTCTCATGTGTGTAGAGAAGCTGTTGTGCGTGACATTCCTGTTGCGAGCTTAAACAGGTACTTTGTTTTTCTTCTTTTCTTTGTTGGTCACTAAGAAGACTTTTCGTTTTTAGATCTGGAAAGCCTCACATTGACGAACCTTGGGTGAATAAGGTGGAGTGGATTCGAGGTAAAGTCGCCACCACTAGTGTTTTCTTTTTCTTTTCCTCTTGTTGAGCAAAGGAATGGCATTTGGTAGCTAGTTGTGTTTGACCACCCCTTACAGGTTTTGGTTTCAGGAAATCTTATCGGCCCAAACACGATTGGAGAACACATGAAAGATGTCTCAGCAGTGGTAAGTTTTCAATTTTTTGCTTTTCTTTCCTTCTGTTCTTCACGAGGATTTCTCTTGTCTTTCCAGATATCATGCGTAGGCGGTTTTGGATCGAATGACACCATGCGCAAAATCAATGGCGATGCAAATGTCAAGGCCATCAATGCTGCTGCTGATTCTGGTAATCGTGGTTTTTCTTTTCAGTTTTCATCTTCTGTTTTTGTCAGGAGTCAAAAGGTTTGTCTATGTATCTGCCTCAGATCTTGGCTTCGCGTCTTACATTTTGCGTGGCTACTTTGAAGGAAAGGTTTGTAATGTTCTACGATACTGATGAAAGCAAGATTAACTTTTTTTCTTCTTCCAGAAAGCGGCTGAAAACGCAGTGATGTCTAGATTCCCTTATGGCGGTTAGTCCAGCGCGTCTTTTAAATCTTTGTCTCGCGTTGATAACTTTGTTGGTGGCCCAGGCGTGATCTTGCGTCCGGGATTCATTCACGGAACTAGACGTGTTGGCAGCATCCAATTACCTCTGGGAGTCATTGGAACTCCGTTGGAAATGGTAAGTCTATCTTCGTTTTTTCAGAGCACGAGACTGGAACTTTGCTGGCAGGCGTTTCGAAACCTGAAATCGATGACGAGAGTTCCAGTTTTGGGGAACTTGGTGGTGCCTCCAGTGAAAGTTACATCAGTGGCAAAAGCTTCCATTCGATCGGCCGTGGACAACGCTGTTCCTCCGGGAGTTTTGGACGTGTGGGGGATTATGCGCTTGGGCGATCACTACTGAGGAGAGAAACAAAAAATGGATTGGCTTTTTTCGACTGGACGAATTCATCCATGAGCGGAGGAATCAAAAAAGAATAGCTCGTGGCAACGTTGCTTACATGACACGAACATTCCCGGAGGAAAATAAGAGCTTGCTCTATTTTTTGTTCATACGGATTTGTGACACGTGTCGCTACCACTTGTCTACACTACAGGCGCGAAGCTCCACAGTATAAGAGCTCTCTTCCTGTATGGCGGGAATCACTTATTTAGGGTTTTTTGAGCGATGGCGACGATCCCCCTCTCCAGCGCTGTGCTCGGCGGCAGTAGCGTGTGGAGGCGAGAATGCGGCGGCGATCCTTTTCTCTACGCGAGGTCTGCGGTTTCAGCTGGATTTGGGCAGGATCTGCGGAAGCGACGAGCTCAATCATGGCATTTCGTGCGCAAGGTGGATGATTTGTGTAGCAGATGTATGAGCCCCGATGCGCAAGGGATGAAATCCGTGGAAATTGGAGCTCCAGAGGCAGCGAACAACGCAGCCTTTTCCCTCTGGTCTAGGTAAATTTGCCAAACGTTTTTCTTTTTTCTTTTGGTCTTGTTCTTCACCATTTCTTTTGTAGATATGTTGGTCTACTGGACAGCCATCCCTTGGTTATGAAGAGCTTGACCGCGGGCCTCTTAAACGCATTCTCGGATTTGTTTTGTCAGGTAAACCGAAAAGAAAAAATCCTTGCAAAACTTACGATTTTTTTTTTTTCAATTCTAGATTGTTGTCGAGAAGTCCCAGACAATAGATTTCCAGCGGCTTCTATCATTCACGGCTATTGGGATTTTTATGAGTGGACCTGGTATGCACTACTGGTGAGCAAGCATGGTATTTATTTTTTGTCACTTTCAAGAGTTCTGGATTGTAGGTATGGATTTCTACCAAAATTGATTCCGTATCCAGGAGTCTTGGGTTTAGCCCTTCGCATTGCCGCGGACCAAGTAAGATACACTAAAGACTCTTCCTAGCTCTGAAAACTTTACTCTCTCGTATAGTTTGTGTTTACACCTCTCGGAACTGGGACGTTTTTCGCTGTCTTGCTCACCCTAGAGGGTCGGAATCAGCAACTTTGGTCAAAGCTTCAACAGGTGAGCTAAGCAATGCTGTATTGCTCACTGGTTTCCTCTCGTTGTCATCTCCAGGACTGGCTTCCTACCGTCATAGCGAACTGGAAAGTCTGGATACCGTTCCAGCTTGTAAACTTTGGACTAGTGCCTCCACAACTACAGGTTCGTTTTGGTGTTTCTTACTTCTCTTGCAAAGAAGTGGGCCAAAAACACACTTGATTTTCAGGCTGGCGCAGCGTGCTTGTTAGGCGTTATTTGGAGCGTTTTTATTTCGTTTGCTGGTCACAAAAAATGAGACAGTTTTGTTCTAACTCTGGCATCAATTCAATTCCTTGTTTATACTTGTTTCTAGGGCTTTGCGAGTTGAGTTTCAGGTAGAAATTACGAAATGCAGCAAGCGTTTCCATGGACGAGCTGCTGTGACCAGGCATGTTGGTGGCTTGATATTGGATTTTTCTAAACACAGTTTCTCAGTTCTTGCAGTGTGCTTGCAGCTCAAGTGTTGGGTACCTCCGTTTCAATCAGTTTACGGGCTGAGAGTGCATTGCTTCAGAAGAGGAAAGGCTTTTTGTTCAGTAGAGTGCCGAGAGGATAGTGTGTACAGCTACCGGTAAAGTTGCTTCTTCACCTGGCTTTGTGCTCACTCTTCACATATTTTTGCTCGCAGTGGCTTCCATAAAGATAGAGTTACTGATGGCCTACAAGCTGGTATTATTTCTTGTCGACGAGTGCGTTCATGGGTGAGCATAATTGTAAACTTCAGTTATAGCAGCTCACAATTTGTCCAGATTTGTTTCGCTCAAGGAAATAAAGGAGATAAGAATCAAGGAGAGCAGCCCAAGACATGGAAGAAAACAGCCAAGAGAGGAAGTTCTCTGAAGGCTGTTAACCTTATCAAATGTGTAAGTGAGCTTTTAAGACGAGAAACCGAAGCTATGTGGCTGAGGATTTTGTTTTTCTTGTGCTGCCTACAGATAGCCAATCTCTCAGACTGCAAGGAAGATATATATGGTGCATTGGATGCTTGGAGTGCTTTCGAAGTCGACTTTCCGATTGAACCCGTGAAAAAGGCTCTGAGGATTCTTCGAGATCAGTGGCAATGGAAGCGTGTGATCCAGGTTCGTGGATTTTTCTTAGTTCTTCTGTCCTTAGAAGCTTGCCAGGTTTCGAAATGGATGCTGAGCAAAGGACATGGCAAGACAATGGCAACTTATCAGCTGCTGATAGTGGCACTGGAGAAAGAAGACCGCATCGAGGAAGCCGAGGAAGTTTTCCACGGTGTCTTTCGGAGATACTTGGACGCGCTTCCCCGTTCACATTTTTCTCTTATGATGGGGATCTACAACCGAGCTGGCATGTATGAAAAGCTGCTAGATGTAAGTTTCTTCCTCCTGTAATTTCTCCTTTCTTATACCTTCTTCAGCTCTTTGCAGACATGGAAGAACTCAACGTCAGACCGGATCAAGGATTAGTTGAAATGGTTGCGGAGGTCTATTTCAAAGTCGGCATGCCAGAAAAGAGCGAGAAGGTGCGAGAAAAGTATCCCCTGCGGCGGTATGAGTATCGTTATCTCAAAGGGAGGCGTATCAGAGTTCCTACGAAGCGACTCTATCGTAAGTTCCATCTAAACTCAGCTCAGTGCAGTTCTAACGTTGAAAGTTTCTAGCCGAGCTGAGACTTACAAAACCATCTCAAGAAGCCGAAAGTGGTGGTGATGGCGATGATCTTTCAGCACAAGAACAAGAACAAGAACAAGAAGAAGAGGAAGAGGAAGAACTTCAAGGAGGAGGACTCGAAGATATCGAAGAAAACGAAGAAGTGATCGTCTCTAGTGCCAACGACGAAGATGAACTGGAATTGCCCGATAAAATGGAAGAAGATGGAGAGCTCCTCGAGAGAGTCCTATTGGGGGAGCCTGTGGGAGAAGAGCTGCTAGAGACCAAGTGGCAAGAACAGCAAATTCTTCAAGCAAAGTGAGTGAACTTTCTTTCTGCCGGTTTATGGAAAGGAAGCAATGCATTGAAGCAATCCAGTCTTGCAAATCCCTCCCAGCGCTACGAGAAATCCACTCGCGAGCAGCAACTGTCTTGCCAAGGATCAAGGACGATTACTTCATCCTCAACAATCTCATCGAAATGTATGGCAAGTGTGGCAGCGCCACCGAAGCTCGCAAGGTCTTCGATGGAATCTACGTCAAGAACTCCTTCTCCTGGACGCTCATGCTCTCGGCCTACTGCCGCAACGGGCATCTGGAAGATGCGAAAACAATACTTCTCAAGATGCCAGCCTCCGCTAAAACGCCCGTTTCCATGACTTCTATGATCGCAGCACTTGCAAACTCGGGGAATCTGGAAGATGCGCGACGAATGTTTAATGCCATGCCCGATCATGATCTAATCTCTTGGACTACCATGCTTGACGCATATGCCCAGAACGGGCATCTTGAAGACGTCAAGCAATTCTACGCATCTATGCCTTGTCGGGACCTTGTCTCCTCTAACGCAATGCTGTCGGCATATACACGCCATGGGCATCTCGACGATGCGAAGGTCCTGTTCGATTCTATCGTAGGGCCGAATCTAGTAGCGTGGAACACGATGCTGTCTACGTATGCCCAACAAGGGCATTTGCGGGAAGCGCGGGAACTGTTTGACGCGATGCCGTTGAGAGACGCAGTGAGCTGGACGGCCATGATTGATGCGTACGGTCATCACGGTGATTTCTGTGAAGCGAGGAGATTGTTTCGCGAGCTACCGGAAGATAACCTTGTGTCTTGGAATGCGATAATGTCCGCATTTGCCATTAGGGGGCATTTGCGGGAAGCGCAAGGATTGTTTGATTCGATGCCTCAAAGAGATCTCATTAGCTGGGTCGCGCTTGTTTACGGCTATGCCATTGCCGCAGAGACATCGATTGCGAAATCATTGTTCGATCGAATGCCGTGTTGGAACTTGGTGGCGATGAACGCCCTCCTTTCGGGGTTTGCCCAATTGGGCCAAATGGAGTCCGCCAAGAATGCATTTGATGAGATGCCGGGGAGAGATGTAATTACCTGGAACATCATTCTAGGAGGTTATGCCCAGAACGGGTATTTCCAGGAAGCTCGGATTGTGCTCCAGGCAATGCCACAGCACGGGATTGTGTCGATCAACACAATGATCTCGGCATATGCCCAGACTGGAGACGTCGCTCGATCAAAGTCGCTGTTTGATGAACTCCCGCAGAGGAATCTCGTTTCCTGGAACGCGGTTCTGGCCGCGTATGCCCAATCTGGTAGAGTTTCTGAGGCTGAGAAGACATTCCAGGCGATGCCACAGAGAGATCCTCTCTCGTGGACTGCGATGATCACAGCCTATGCCTTGGCTGGGAATTGTGAGCGATCGCAGCAAATGTTTGATGAATGCCCTCACAAGGACACTGTTTGTTACAACGCGCTTCTCTCGGCATACGCTCAATGCGAGAGACTCGAAGAAGCAAAACTCGTTTTTGACTCAATGCCGCACAGAAATACCGTCTGTTGGAACGCAATGCTTGCTGCGTATGCCCAGGTAGGGCATCTGGACGAGGCGGAGCACATTTTCGAAAACATGCCGGTGAGGGATCTCGTCTCCTACAACACAATGCTCTCCGCGTATTCCCAGAACCGGCACGTCGTACAGGCGGTGGCAATGTTTTATAGCCTTCCGCTTCGGAACGAGCATTCCTGGAATGCATATGTCGCAGCATTTGCACGAGTTGGAGACATTGAAAGAGCAAAAAGTGCTTTCGATCAGATACCAGAGCAGGACCAAATCTCATGGAGCGTCTTGCTTGCGGCTCAAGCCCACTTTGGAGACTCAACACTTGCAATTGCAACTTTTGATGAGATGAGAGTATCAGTCGCACCTGAGGAAGCTTGTTTTGCTCTTGTACTCACCTCTTGCAGCAGGAAGGGCAAGCTTTACAATGGGCGCTGCTGCTTCACGTCCATGAGGTATGATTTCGGGGTCTCTCCGTCGCGGCCTCACTACTGCTGCATGATTGATCTTCTTGCCCGGTCTGGGCATTTGGAGGACTGTGAGAAACTCATTCTTACAATGCCCTTTGAGCCCCAGGTTCTGGAGTGGATTGCCTTGCTTAGTGCTTGTTCGTCTCACGGTGACAATGAAAGAGGAGCTAGGGCCGCAAAGAGCTTGACGCGATTCCAGCATGGAGCGGCTTATGTGCTCCTAGCGAATGCCAATATCCCAAAGCTCACCGGCACTAAATGAGGGTGTGCCACTTCAGCACTGGTTCTTTCTCTAGGGTTTATGCGTTTTGCTTGGAGAAATGTGTGGGAGAGCTCGATGCACGCTTGCCCCCGACGCTGTGGGAGCTGCCTGTGGTTTTGGGGATTGCCAGCTCCGATTGATCGATCACGACAGGTATTTTTTTTTCGCATTCGTTTGATCACATCGCATTCTACCATCGCGTTTTTGCAGGTATCGTCCATCTTACAATGTGTCGCCTGGAGCTTATTTCCCTGTTGTTCATTACGAAGCCAAAGACGATGGGGAAGCTCTTCCGGTTGTGCAAGCGATGAAATGGGGGCTCGTTCCCAGCTTCACCAAAAAAAATGAGAAGCCCGATCACTATCGCATGGTAACTATCCCAAAAACTTTTTTTTGGAGTGAGTTTTCTTGTTCTGTCTCATTCTTTGCTTCGTTTTCTCGACTTCCTTCTTGTGTTTGCGATCTAACCAAATTTTTTTTTCTCGACTTCTATCTTGTGTTTGCGGTCTAACCATTTTTTTTTCTCCACTTCTTTCCTGTGTTTGCGATCTAACCAATTTTTTTTTTTCTTGACTTCTTTCTTGTGTTTGCGATCGAGCCATTGTTTTTTTCTCGACTTCTTTCTTGTGTTGCGATCTAACCATTTCTCTTCTTGTTTCAGTTCAATGCAAGATCAGAAACTGTGCGTGAGAAGACCTCCTTCTCTCGACTTCTTCCAGCGAAACGGTGCCTCGTGAGCGTCGAAGGGTACCAAAACAAGCATATCATATCTTCTACTACGACTTCGCTTTTGCAGATTTTACGAGTGGAAGAAAGATGGTAGTAAGAAGCAACCATATTATATCCACTTCCAGGACGAGCGCCCTCTTGTATTCGCCTGCCTGTACGACTCTTGGCAAGATGCCGAAGGTAATGAAATTTTCGTCGAACTCGTGGGTGTGCTTACGTGCTCTATCAGGAGACACGCTCTTCACTTTCACCATTTTGACCACGCGAGTGTCCAAGCGATTGGAATGGCTCCACGGTACGAAGTGTCGATTTAATCCCGTTTTAATCGTGTTGGCCAACTCTCCTTTTGCTACAGACAGGATGCCTGTCATTCTAGCGAGCGACGACGCAACGAAAGCATGGCTAGAGCTTGGCTGCTCCCTCGATGACGTCTTCCGCAAATTCGTGCAGCCATACGAAGGACCGAATCTGGTAAAGGAAGAGTAAATTCTAAAGCCTGGCGCCACCCATGGATTCCTCGAGAACCATCTTTCTCTCGGTTTTAAATACTCCTTGCAGGTATGGTATCCTGTTACATCGGCAATGGGCAAGCCGTCCTTTAATGGGCCAGATTGTATCAAGGAGGTAAAAGCTACTCTCCTTTTTCTCCTTTTTTTTTTTTTTGTTTACTAGTGTTCTTGCAGATCAAACAACAAAAGGTGAATGATATCAGCAGATTCTTCAAGCGGAAGCCACAGGAGAGTAATCCAAACGCTGCAACCGGACAAGATCCCGAGAGAGAAGTTTGTGATCGTCCTCGCGACGTAAAGAAGACAAAAGCCACCGCTTCTCAAAGCTAGAGAACACGAAAGCGATGCCTCAGGTAACATTCCATCTCAACACTTCTACAAACTCTAGAAGTATAAGATATAGCTTCGGTTGTCTTAGTTTTCTCTCTCGTGGATCTAACTTTGATAAGCTTTGATTGTCTCCGAATCGATTAGTCTTTTCTCTTGGATTCAACATTTCCAATCGTTCCATGACCACTGCTGTGACTGACGAAGCAATGAAGGATAGGATTAAAGCCGAATCAATCTCTGTCGACACGTGGCGTACCCGCCGGACACGCGGCCTGCCGTACACGTCAGCATTTACTGGCGGGTCTTTTTTACTAAGGGTGTTCTACCGAGAAATTAGGGTTTAAAAAAGGGTGCTCTACCGAGAATTTAGGGCTCTTGCGGAGAGATGCTAAATTTTGGTGTCAGTGTGTACTAGTTTGCCACTGCTGGTGTCGAGATTTTCATCCAGGCATGGGATTTCCAAGCATCTATGGCGGCCTGCTGCCGCTGGTGGTGGTGAACACGGCGATTTCGCTGGCGCTCGTAAAGAATCTGCTCGATTCGCTGCTCCGGATCGTCGGGCTCAAGAGGGATTCGTCGGAGGTCCACCAGATGGAGCCGTCTCGGCAGCCGCGGCGCCCGGTGGCCTCCAGCCTCTCGCCGGATCGCTCACAGCCCCAGCACCACCACCATAGCTTCGTGGAGGAGATCCAATCCTCGCTCCCTCTCATCGAATTCAGTAAGCTCGTCCATTCTTCTCTCGATATTTCGGAGATTCCTTCCTCCTCTCTCGATAATCCGGGAGAAATCCCTCCTTCCCCCTCTTCTTCCTCCTCTCCTCCTTCCTCGCTCGAATTCCCCGGCGAGAACGAGGAACACGAGGCCCAATGCGCGGTGTGCTTGTGTGATTTCGAGCCCAGCTCGCTCGTCCGCAAGCTCCCCAATTGCTCGCACGTCTTCCACCGGGATTGCTTGGACAAGTGGCTGAATCACAACCACACCACTTGCCCGATGTGCCGCTCCAGCCTCCTCACGCTCGATCTCGCCAAGAAGCACAGGCAGCAGGAAGAAATCCTGGCCGAGGAGCTCGCGCTGTGGCTCTCGGTCTATCACACCAGCGGATTGGCCAGGGGGCCGTGGTGGTACCGCGGCCATGGATCTGGCTTCGCCACTGGCTGGGATTTCCACTAGTCAGCAGCCGCCACGAAGAAAGTGAAAGGATCGATTGGTCGGTCCTATCGATCGATTGACACGGCAGACCATTTTTTCGTGTTCTTCGTTTGCGTGCTTTGTTCTAAGACCACTCACTGTACATAAAGTAAAAAATCTTCCATTCACGAGAAGAGTGGGTGACAAAATCGCGGCCGTCCATCTCACGGGAGGCTCTTCTTCCGGATAGGAATGTGACCCTCGCTCTCTTGTTTTGACTGCGATGGAGAGATGGAGAGATGGAACGATCGTTGGAGAGAATTTCAATCTCTTTCGCTTGTGGGTCCAAGATTCCTGTGGAGACACACCACAACAAAAGATCGTAGATTCATATCAATTCGGGAATCCATGGTTGGAATGTTGCGAGGCCACACATCAAGAGAATCCGATCAAACATCCAGGACAGTTGGTTCATTTGAGCTCTATCAATCTTTCAAGCTCTCGAATTGACAAAAGAGAGAAAGAACTAGCAACGGAGTGGAGCAAGCAATTCTAGAATGAAGAGAGAGAGAGATAGAGATCAAGAAACAAAGAGGCTTCTTTGTGACAATCCTAACACAGTGGTATGCTCCCACTCAATCAAACCTGCGAGTGGAATTCCATGAAACGTTTTGTTGGATGGGAACATACCACCTGAGTTAGCATTGTCATGGATCCTCACAGAGAAATTTCTAGCAAACAAGCAATCATCCAGCTCTCTAAAAAATTCTCTAGTTTCGATCCACAAAAGAGCTCCAAAACCATAAGTCCGGCGCAAAACCACGGCGAGAAGAAAGCCGATCGATCCAGCCCCAAAAAAACTGAGCTCCAGGCGTTTGCTATAAAAACTAGTATTCCTCGAGCTAAAACATTGCATTATATATTGTAAGTAGAAAGATTTGTGCGTTGCATTGCCTAGAAGATGGCGTAGTTTGAAAGGGCTTGTTTTTTGTAACCATGGAGGGGAGGACTAGTTTAATCAGATCAAGGACTGGAGCTTTCGAAACCATTCAGTGCTCTGGTCACAAAAAAAAAAAAGGTATTTTTGGCAGAATTGGCTGGCAAAATAATTTGAAAGCTTTGAATTTTTTTTGAATTTTTTGAGGGAAAAGAGGGAATTTTTGTCTCTGGTGTCATGGTATTCGACCACTTGATTTCTCCACAGTGTTTTTGTAGACTGGCCATTCTTCACATATTTTATTTATATTTTTGCAGGGGTGTCTCGCTTTCTTTCGGGTTGGAAAGCAATGGCTTGTCCATTCACCATGTCAATCAATCAAGAACGAACAAAATTTTATTGCCTTTGGCATTGGCATGACAAACTTTTCTTCGCTTTTTTTTCTTGGTCTCTTCAGCCTTGAATGTTTCCATGTCTGAGCCAGTCTAGAACAACATCGGCTGCTTTTCTCCACTGCGTGTCCAGCATTATGTCGTGAGCAATGCTTGAGATGATGTGCTCTTTGGCATTGAAGAAGGCCCCTGTCTCGCGCACTGCTTGCTCGTCCTGGACGAAAGAGAAAGTTGTGACGAGAAGACAAACGTTTAAAAACTTTGATACGCCATGGGAGCGTTTTCTACCAGGATGAAGTCGTTCTCGGAGCCAATGACAAGAACAGGTGGTGACGACGGAGATGGCGGGCCGATCGGCAGTGATGCATTTAGTTTGCGGAGGTCAAAGAGAGGAACAGTGGAGCTGTTCCTCATCAAAGCCTGGTATCTGGAACAAACCATATGAGGTTTTGTAAACGATTCCAAGCAAAGCTCACCTTGCAAGCTCTGAATGGTTTATGTCCGGCGAGAAGAATGTTTCTCTGCAAAGTGGAAGAGACCTCGCAAAGCCTTTCGCAGCCAAGCTCCAAGTAACCTTGGCTTACAAGTGATTCACAAGACAAGCAAAGCTTATGAAGCTTACTTTTATGGAAGCAAGAGGCTTGGACTTCAAGAAACGCATCACCACAGCACTGCATTGTAATCCTTGTTGGAAAAGATATATTTTGTGGAAACCAAAAGGCCAACTTACGTATTCCCTGTTGGAGGAACCGAGCATGCTAGAACAGCGGAAGCTAGCATCGGGTATCCTGCAAAAGAAAGATATAATTTTCACTTCACAGATCGAAACTCTTACTCTCAAGACAATGAAGATAATATTGCACGATCAATCCTCCGAATGAATGCCCTACGAGCACTGGAGGAATGCCATGAAGCTTGCTCTCGATGAAGTTTGCAACATCGCTTGCATGAAGCTACTGCGCATAAGATCAATCGATCACTGACAGAAAGAATATAGTCAAAGATAAAATCCAAACCTCCAAAGTCTGTGGCACTCGATCAGCTGGCGGATCACTCTCTCCCTTCACGGACATTATCACACAAAACTCTATAAAGACCAAGGAAAAAGAAAAACCAAACCTGGCCGAGAAGACTCAATGCGAAACAATGGTGCCCAGCTTGAGAGAAATGGGGGAGCCAATGCACAGCCCAGCACCACGCAGCATGGTAGCTCCCGTGAACAAAAACTACTGGAGCAATTTTGCTTTGGGTTGCCGGAGAAGAAGAAGAGGGTGGACAAGAGAGAACCTCCATTCGAAGCCCAGATGGAAGCTCAAAGGAAGAGCGCGAGACCCCATCTGGCAAATTTATAGGTGGAGTTGCGGACCCAAGATTTGCAGAAACCGCACACCGGCCGCGGCCAGAGGGAAGAGGAGGCAAAATGTTGCTTGGAATATTTACCAGGACGCCCATCTCACTGCATTCCAAATGAACTTCTCACAATATTGAGGATTTTAGTTTGGAACAGTGTTCCGGTTACTAGTGCTCCTCTAGGAGGTTTGGCCTACTAAAGAATTTCTAGCTACTCTTTCATAATTTTGCATATCTTAAGAATATTTATATTTTAAATCCTGAAGTATATTCTAATTAAACGAAATCTATGTTATATTTATTTATAGCCTAGATGCTTAACTTTAAAAAAAATATCAAACATTACTTTCAAAGATGTTTTATTTCAAAATAAATATAAAATGAATTATTAATTTATTTTATTTAAGTGTTTTGATTTTCTTCTTCAAAATCTTAATTTATTTAACATTATTTAACATATTATATAATTTTGGTCCATATGAATGATCAAATCTGATATCAATTAGATATAAGTATTTATTTATATCAAAAATATAAATAAATAAAAAATCTATAACATTAAATTTAGCTGAGAATATTTATTGACCATGAAAAGTCCCTCCATTACTTATGTGACTTTTCATTTTCCAGATGCATCTCAGTATCCAAACCTCCCATGTAACAACACTAATAAGACATTGTTGACGCTAATGTCTCCACCCAAGAAATGGAGGTTCCCAATTTGGAAAATACCGACAACTGTAACACATATGATCATGGGATGAAATTTGAATATATTGTCATTATGGATCCTTAGAACCTTGGGGGATAAATAGGGATAAAATAGCCACTAAGGGTTCTCTCGTCAAGCAATTGCCCCTTTTCCAGTTGGCTTAAGGGGAGAGAGATAAGGTGTGCTACAGTTGGTATCAGAGAAAATGGCACGGGTTCAATTCCTATTGATTAGTGGCTATTTAAAAATATAATATACCCTTGAGCAAGGTATATTCCTACCCCTAAATTTGAAATCGTACGTATTGGGTATATTCCTACCCTAAATTTGAAATCATACGTATTGGGCATCCATGCGTACATCCTTCCTCTTGTGTGGAGTATCCAGGTGGCTACTTAAAAATATAATATACCCTCGAGCAAGGTATATTCCTACCCCTAAATTTGAAATCGTACGTATTGGGCATCCATGCGTACGTCCTTCCTTTTGTGTGGAGTATCCACGAATGAAGGTATCCACCGTGGGACTGCAATACGGGTGAATGATTAGTTGTCTCACATGGAATAGTAGTCAATGAAGACATTAACATCTCTGAAGGGGGGGTGTGTTACACTCACATGAGGGGGGGTGAGTGTAGCACATGTGATCATGGGATGAGATTTGGATATATTGTCACTGTGGATCCTTGGAACCTTGGGGGATAAATAGGGATAAAATAGCCACTAAAGGCTCTTTCATCAAGCAATTGCCCCTTTTCCAGTTGGCTTAAAGGGAAAGAGATAAAATGCACTACAACAATGCTGATAAGTGTGACCAACTTCATCACACACCCAACAGTGAATATCACGGCCACGACTAAGTCCTCGCTTTTGTCTTTGAATTTGAGTAGTAATAGCATCAACTTCCATTGGAACAGGATCATCTCTCATAGGAAGTGGAGCTGAAGGATGTGTAGCAAGAAGTGGAAGAGGTGATGTTTTATAATGTTGTGCTAAGTGTGTCAAAGGTGGCTAGAGCAAGTGCATGCACAAGTTTTACAAGATCTTGACGACCATTTACTATAAAAACAAGCTTGGAAAGTAAACACTGGATGAACTAATGCCAAGTAAACCCCTTGATAATACTCCCAAAAAAAAGATAGAAGCATCATTAACTTATTCGCAAAAGATCCCTTTGTTACTCATGTGACTCCTCATTTCCCAAATGCATCTCAATGTCCAGACTTTCCATTGCAACATCACCTAAGAAATGAAGGCCACCAATCTGGAAAACGCCAACAACACTGATAAGTGTGACCAACTTCATCATACGCCCAACAACAAACATCACAGCTACGACTATATTTTTGCCCTTTTCTTTGAACTCGAGCAATAATAGCATCAACCTCCATTGGAATATGACTATCTCCCACAGTAAGTGGAGCTAAAGGATGTGTAGCAAGAAGTGGAAGAGGCAATGTCTCATAATGTTATGTCAAATAAAAAGCATTATTAAGGGTGGCTAAAGTAAGTGCATGCACAAATCCTACAAGATCTTGATGAAGTGTTGGCCACAACATTCCTACTTTGATCCTCTTTGACATATTTGGCTTTACATGAAGCAAGAGGCATCAAAAACAAATGCCAAATTGCATCACTGACTCCAATGGCCCTTGACAAAGATAATGCAATTGTTAGAAGGCATCATCACAATTGTCAATATATCTGAATGCGTATTTGAAGACATCCAAGAGAATACTCCAATCCCCACGAGTGACTATATCTAAACCATTATACCATTGTAGCACCGTCCCTTGGAGATACGTGGGAAATTCATGCTAATGTTGAGCATCATCCTAAGAATTATATGTGGCAATCACTGTGAAATGATCGAATCAATAGTAGATATCATCCCTAGAATTCCCACCAAAGAACTCTGGCCGAACGTGAGGATTGGCACCAAGAGCAAAAGAAGCTGTACCACGTGTTATGAATGCCGCCATCAACTGAGTTTAATTGTTCAATTGCAATCACATAGTATCAAGCAATTGTACCAATTGTTACTCCAAAGTCAAAGAAGGAAACTATTGCTCTACTATGAAGATGAATGAATTTCATAGGAATCCTAAGGATGATGTGTACCATTGGTTTGATCACTTCATAGTGATTGCCACATATCATTCTTGGGATGATGCTTGATGTTTGCGTGAGTTTCCCACGTGTTTCTAAGGGACGACGCTGTAGTGGTACAATGGTTTGAGTGCAACCACTCGTGAGGATTAGAGTATTCTCCTAGATGTCTTCAAACGCACTTTTAGACATGTTGACGATTGTGATAATGCCTTCCAACAATTGCATCATCTTCGTTAAGGGCTATTTGAGTTGGTGATGCAATTTGGCATTTGTTTCCGAAACCTTTTACGTCATGTGGAGCCAAATATGTCGGAGCGGATTAAGCTCGGAATGTTGTGGCTAACAGTAAATGACCCCTCCATCTTTCTTTCGGGAGTATCATCAAGGGGTTCATTCAGCACTAGTTCATCTAATATTTACTTTCCAAGCTCATTTTTATAACAAAAGGTATTTTATTATTCTCTCTGTGTTGGTTAATACAAGCTCAAGTTTATCTTCTATTGCTTGATTTATTGCTACATGTTGCCGTCTACATTTGCATCGTGTGGCAGTCAATTCCAAGTTTGAAACCAAGACTGAGTTCGAGTCTGAGTCTGAGTCCAAGTCCAAGTCCAAGTCCAAGGGTGAAAGCCCAAAGTGATCATCTCCTAGACCCGAGGGGGTTTGGTGAGCTCCAAAAGTATAATGGGGGGAGGACTCAAATGGAAACAATTTGGCTAGAAAAGGTTAGTGAGACTAAGGAAGGTTATACCCATGTGGTGGGTGATGATATAACCATTGAAGAGTCCAAGGCTAAAGTGAACATAGATGAACAAGTAAAGTAACTTAGTGAAGTATTCAAAAGTTAGCTTTAGCTCCCCTGAGAGATTGAATGGTCAATGCTCCCAATCCAAGTGTGGGTGGGACTACCTACTTGGATACTTAACATGGCTTATCGGAACCTTACTTTAGCCACATGGCTAAGGCACCCAAAGGAGGAAGGTGGGGAGAGTACCCATAAGGCTTAAGTAGGGCTATGGTGTTTCAAAATGTTATCCCAAAGTTCTAGTCTAAGGAAAAAAAGAGGAGCAATTCTGTTATGTAGTAACTAAAGATACAGTCATATGGTGAGGAACTCCCAGAGGTTAGTGGGACTTAGTGGTCAGGCATTTAAGTCTTGACTCAATAGTAGTGTTGGTGAGCACTGCCATGAGCGGAGTGGGACTTAATGGGGACCGAAAAAGGAATATTAGGAAGGATGTTCCTTATGTCTCCGGGCATCTAAAGAGTGTTTAGGTATGGTTAAGGATGATCACTTATAGATAAATGAACTAGTCTTTGGGAGATGAGTCTGTGGTATGGGTGGTTTTAGACTATTAATGAGACAAAGGTGAATGGACATAGCTTTAGTGTAACGCGTTGATATGTCAATGGTACCTTTGGGTGTTTATAGTGGGATTGGACATATGGAGCACTTGGATCAAGTGCAAAAGCTAAATGGCTAGATGTAGTGCACATGGTTTTTACCTTTTATCCTATGGTGATTTACCATAGGATAACACCACAAAGCAGAACCTAAACCCTTTATATGCCATGTGTCACATGCCACATGTCCAAAGGACAGTACTGTGGAACCCGAGGTTCAGGGCCTTGGGCCACTGAACAAAGGAACGATGCCAAACCCCCAAGTATGGAGCCAAGGAGTGATAGAACTGGACCACGAAGCAACTCTTGAGCATACAGCCCAAGGAGCAAAGGGACAGGAGCCCAGTGCAACTTGGAATAGTCCTAGAGCAACCAGCATCCCAATGCCAGGACTAGCAAGCAAAACAGAGCCAAATGGAGTTTGGTGCTATTTCGGCATACCGATGGCCTATGGGTACTCCACCAGCTAGCATGGTGTAGAGCTTAAGCTTAGACCCAAGCTGGATGCAGAACAAGAACAGGTATGTAGGCAAGAGCTAAACTATGCCTCAGGTTAATCAGCCATGCCTGACCTACCCAATATTCCTACTATACATTTTGAAACCCCCCACAGGCCCCCCCCCCCTTAAGGAACACATGCTTTGGGCTTTCACCCTAAGCCTCCCTTAGTATCAAGAGTTAGTCTCTGGGACAAGTTTGAAACTTATTAAATATAGAATGGTGCTAGAATGCGAATTTAGACATGGGATGAACACCATTGTGTTCAAAACAATCTCTACATTTCATAGATATGCCAAATGAGCAAATCTAGACACTTTCCATAAATAGCATTTGGGACCAAAATGAAACTAACACAAAGGGCATGATAGTGAGGGTGTTTGGCAGACACGGTAAGCTATCATTTAACGAATATTGAGGACCAATCTCAATATCACGAGGGTTCTTGATACTAACAAGT